AAAGTACAGATTTAAAATTTACCTACAAACACTACAGACATTAACACAAGAAATAAGCAGTTTTAAATAATATTAAATTGCTGATGTCAGTGCTACTTTAAGATATGGCATCATAGCTATAGAACTATGTCTTAAAATGTAACTGCCACTTGTCTGAAACTTGGCAAACATGGCTAATAGAGAGGATAGAGAGGTGCGAATTTCTTAATGTAATTATATTTGAATACTTCACAAATACATAATTGGTAAATTTGGGGATAAGCAAACATAATGTTAAAAACCCCAAGAAAAATAAAGCCTCCCCTCTAACTCCGAAACAGTGATCAGAGCTGTGCTTTATACGATAGAGTGGAGGGCAGGTCTTAGTATGGCGTGTATTTCCAAATACTTGCTTGACTCTTGACAATATTTGAGAAATCTAATAAGTACTAATAAGCTGTTTATGTCTCGATGACGTATGGGAACTAAACTTCCATTTCCTGTTGAAGGTGAGCAATGGCTGGGACTTGAGAAAATGTATTGGTTGACAAATCAGACTGGTAGGCCCTCGGAACTGCTCGTTGTCCTTGGTGACTTTGGTGGATCGACCATTATGGCTTTCTATAACCACTTCAAGATTGGTCCAGAGTACAGGTTGTACCAGTTATCCCTAGGAAAATATATTGGAAATGCAGGTAAAACCCTTCATATATTCGGAAGTAAATTGGAGTCTTTCTGCGTTATGGAAATGTTTTGTATTTTCTATAGAAAAAGGTGAACTTTTAAAAATATATAGCCTGGTAAGACCAGATACTATCTTGTTTTGTTTGTTTTTTCTTTTCAGTTTTTCATTCCTTATGCCCAATGTGTATTAATGATTTTGCTCCCTCATTTGTCACTTGTTTTTATTTATTTCTATATATATGTCTATATATGTTGACTTTTCTTCTTTGTGCCAGATCTCAATATCTGGGTGCTGCCATTTTGTTCTCCTCTGTCCACGATGTCTGCGGTTTGCCTTTTGTGAGATTCATTTGACTGATGCATTGTGGGTAAATTAGAGTAGCCACTGATATATAACTTTGCTTTAACACCACCCACGTCCAAAGATCACTCTGCCCATAAGTAAAATGAGTCCCTATTTTTCCTGTGTATAATCAACTAAGATGAATAAAATAAAAACAAAGACGGTTGTGATTGAAACAAGCCATAGACTACAGTTTTGACAGTTATATACATATATGTATATCCTCTGTTTAATGTATTCAAATAAAGTACCACAATCCTTGGGGCACCTGCACCGCATCCGATGTCCTGCTGCAGGAGAAATTAGCTAATCCTGACCAATCCAAGGATTCACTCTGCTTTTCTCTACAGAGACAGACCACATCTCATTCTGGAGAAGACCAAATGCAGAGGAAGCAGCGTGGGCACCTGGCAGGACCTAGACAAGTTGTCAAACCTTGCTAAAATGGTTTGACATTTTAATATTGGGTTGTGCAAGGGCACTCCTAGCGTAAGAACTAGTAGAGTGGGCTCTTTGTAGTAGTCATGTTCTCCATAAAACCGCTGAACATTCCCCATAGAGACGCATTGATTCGATGCATCTCTATGAATAGATGCTGATTGGCACAGCGCTGTGTTTTGCTGAGCATGCGGTGAAAGCATTGGATTGGCTGAGATCGTCTAGTCTGATGATCTCAGCCATGGAGGAAAAAAAGGTATCTGTAAAGCGATGCAAGGGGGGCTGGTAACCTATTGGGTTTAACACTATAGTGTCAGAAATACATGTTTGTCTTCCTGACGCTATAGTGTTCCTTTAAATCTCAGACAATCTGCTGTGGCTTGGTGATTGCAGAAGTGGATTTCTGCATTAGCTGTCCAACCATGGGTAGCAAAGATAGGATAAGAGGGCTGTGGTCGGATATGCTGTAAATTGTCCAGTTTTGGTAAATTAATTTGCTCAATCATGAGATTATATTTCAGACAGGAAACAGATTACTAAAAAGTGCAAAGCACAGAGTTTGCCCCTCTACCGCATGGCCACAGGCATCCAATGGAGACACCGCCATCGGTGCCTCTCATGTCCTCCCCTCACCCCGTTCTCCCCGTAATTCCCTCGCTCTCCAGCAAAAGTGAACGATCTCAGCTGAGGAGAAGCAGGATGAAGGGAGAACCTGGCTTTGGCGGTGGAAAGAGGAGAGTTTATGCTTTTTTTTTTCTAAAACAGTTTTTTGATTGGAGTAACCCTTTAAGGTTGTAATTCATTCATTCATTGCACTATATCGAAGTCAGCACAAGCACCTGTGATCCACTGCACTGTTTGTAGTTATCCCTTTACCACTACAAGTAGCTTAGGCTGTAGATTAAAAAAAAGAAAATGTATATATTTTTTTTCATGAAATGCTTTAGGTGTTAATTAACTGTCATAGCTTCATGTTCCTAGTTTGACTTTTAACAAATAATCTAAAATAATGTTGTTTTGTATGAAATCTTTTTGCAGGTGATGCTTTCAGAGGAAGAGTAAATGGGGATGGCAATAATCAGGATGGAAGTTTCTTTAGCACAGTTGACAGTGACAATGACAATTGTGATCCATGTACGACGGGAGACATAAAATACAACAGCTGCGCCCGTGATCGATTCTATTCTGGCTGGTGGTTTAGCAGGTGTGGAATAGCCAACCTGAATGGCCACTGGCACCCAGAGAATGATTACAACGGCTGGAGTTCCTCTCTGAAATGGGAAACGTGGAGTTTGGTGGAGTCAATGAAGTTTAGTAAGATGTATGCGATACACTAATAATTGGAGAAATGTTACGTCTTCAACACACAAAATATTTTAAGTATTTTGCGGCAATAAGTTGTGTGTTGCTAAACAATAAAATTACTCTTTGAAAGGCTACAATACGAAAGTGTGATCGGCTCTGTAAATGGAAGAATGTAAACATGTACTCAATGATAAGGAACGGCTGCAGGGCTTAAATGGCATAGTAAATTATAATGGGGATCACTTATTAAACACTACATTGTAGTCACTGGAATGCTGTAAAACAAGCCTGTGTATGTAATGGGATGCTTTGTCATCAGTAAGGAAATCCCCTAGTGTTGCACACATCACAGGATTCAATAAGGTTAAAGACTATCTTGTTCAATTTGTCATAAATTGCAGTGGTGGGGGGACTTTCTAACAGTATAGTGTTAGGAAAACAAAACTGTAGCCCTACCACTATAGTGTCCCTCTGCCTCTTACTATAGGTAACCTTCCTCCCGGTTTATAAAGGGTTATCGGTTTCCAGTGCCAAGGACTGTCAGCGCTGGATCAGTCTCCTCCAGCAATGTTTTGCCAAGGGGGTAACCTAATGCGTTACTCTAAAACTGCAAGGTTTCACATTGAAGGGTTAAGGGGACAGTTACACTTCACCCACACCACTTCAATGAGATGAAATATTCTGCATTTGTATATAGTGTCCCTTGGGTTAAGGGGACAGTTACACTTCACCCACACCACTTCAATGAGATGAAATATTCTGCGTTTGTATAGTGTCCCTTTAATAAAAAAGGGACAATAAAGTTCGTCCTTGGTCTTGCAAGGTGCTAATATCTTGCTAACAGCTGTTATAATCCTGAATATTATACTTTTCCGAAAAGACAGGTACTTGAGAGAACATGTATAAAAAGGCCAGCCAAGTTCCATATAACTTAGGTCTGCCAGTAAACAAACACTGTGGAATGTCATCAACACCCTGTGAAATAAAACTCTTGCTAACTGGCAGTCCGGAAGCAAGTGAACAGAACTACGTCGCATAGAATGTGCCACGTGAGAGATACAACAGTACCGATTAATAATTCTATTAAACCATATTAAAATTGTTTGAAAAATAAAAACCACTCGCAAGGTTATTCTCTACAGTGTAAATTTTCACAATTTTCAGGTAAAAATTGCCAAGTTATATTAAAAAAAAAAAAGTCTATCGGCAGCTAGGTTTTTAGTTTGTCTGCTTTGGACTTGGTGAAAACACAGCCAGGAGAGCAGTAAGTAAATCCATCAATGGGTTGGTTGTGGGTAAATTCGCTTGGCAGCAGACAGAGAACTTATCTTAGGTTCCAAACATTGCCACATTATTATTATTATTGCCATTTATATAGCTACAAAGAAACTAGTCCTGCGCTCAAACTCCCATTACTCCTGGGCGGCAGCAACGACTATAGTACACATCAGCCAAAATACATATAGTAAAAACCAAAGAAAAAAGTTACTTGCGCTCTTTCCACATCCCTATGTATTTTTAAACAAATGGAGGTTTTTAGTTACCTCCAATGGCCATGAGAGGGCAAGGCAAATGGTTAGAGTTAGGACCCACCTTAAAGCTCTGCCTTGATGTGGCAGGTGGGCTTACCCTCTCATGGCCATTGGAGGTAACTAAAAACCTCCATTTGTTTAAAAATACATAGGGATGTGGAAAGAGCGCAGGTAACTTTTTTTCCTTTGCCATTTAAATAGCGCCAACAGATTCCACAGCACTTTATGAGAGGGGGGGATTTAACTATAAAATAGGACAATTACACAAAACTTACAGGATTGATAGGTTGGAGTGGACCCTGCTCAAACGAGCTTACATTCTATATAATGACAAAGGTCATGCTAACCCCAAATTTAAAAAAAAATAAAATAAAATAAAACAACCCTAAGTTAAAAACAAAAGTGTAGAAAATAAGTGACAAAATAGTAATTTAAAAGTAAAAATGTAATGTGCCAGTTATAAAGTAACAATATGCTGTAATAATTATAGTGTTTAGTGTGGCCCTTTAATTCCTGATGGTGATTACAAAAATACAAAAAGGACATTGTAGTTAATTTAATGAATTTAAAACTTTAGCAGCAGTTACATAGAAGGCTATACAGGGGCTAAAATAGGCCCAGGCATTTATACCACACAGCAGACTACTTTACACAGCTTGCCCCAAACCGCACCTTCATTTTGCTTGCACATATTTCTAACCAGATTTGTTGTCCTTGTCCACGCATGTATCTAAATATCAAAGTGTGTCCATTACTGATTTATTTATTGTTGTAGGACATGCCTCTTCCAGGTATATTCCCTGAATCACATGAAACCCATAGATCAGGAAGATAAATGTTTAAAATTGGATGTTCTAAAAAAAACGAACTTATTTGCCATGTAATTGATCAGACATGGTTTCGGTTTGTAAAGGATAGCTTTAGATGTGAAACTTAGGACACAAATCAAGAAGAAAGGTCTCTTCATCATACTTGATAGAGATAACGACTGATGTGAAAGACGTCTCACAGGGAACGTAGCAGTGCACAAATTACTTAATGTGTGACAGTGGAATAATCGCTGTTAAATGGCGACTGGTATCCAAATAAATGATATACTACAGGCTTCTGTCAAACACTGGAAACCAGTTGAGCCTTTGCAATCCAGCGAGTTCAAACTGATCAAGTGTGATATTCTGAATTGTGCTATAATCAAAACTATTGACAAAACAAAAACAAAAACACAATTTCTCTTTATAGTGGTTGTGAAACGAATTCTATTATGGTCATTGTGGATGCACCAACTGTTATATTTAACATTATACACAAAGTATAAAACAAGATACAATGCCGAATGTGAGAAACTGATCGAGCATGAGTCCACATTGCTTAATATTGTTTGAGCAGTAAATACTGGAAATATAAATAAATACATGTAAAATATACTCTAATTTCCAACACACTTATTATTTTTTCCAGACTGGCAGATTTAATTTTCCTTTCGTTTCTTACTTTGTTTAAATGTCTTAATGACGAATGTGTTAAGGGACTCTGAGCACCATAACCACTTCATCTTGCTGCACTGTTTTTGGCAAGAGGAGCACCGACCCATGCTACGTTGTCAAACAGTTTACAAATGATTTGGCACTCACCTGGCTTTGGCAGGAGTCACCGTCCTTTCAGTCTGCACGGATATGTTTTTGCTGACGTTTAGGCTTCTAAATTAGAATACCAAGTTTGGACATTGGCATGTGTGTCAGCTGTCCCTCCTCAGCCAATGAAGAGTGTCTAAAGTTGATGTGCATACTCAGAAGTCTAAACGGCCGCATTAGCATATCAGTGAAGACCGAAAGGACCGCAGGTGCCCGATCAAACCATGCCTAATCGGTTTGACAGTTTACTGAAGAATGACAACAGGAGACTCCTGGCACCATACTCACTACAGAGTGCACCATACGCACTAGTGCTGTTGTGGTAAAAGTGCTTAAAGTATTCCCTTAAGCCTTAAATTTTCTCTGCATCCTCTTCCCATCAATATAAAATATATAACTTATTATAAATATATCTGATGCATCGCAATTTTCAAAAAAAATAAAACACCATTCACAAACCCTGTATATTTGTTATGTTTACTTTCATCACAATTATAATTTATACTTTATTTAAGAAATGTGTATTTACAAAAATAAACACATGAGGGATTGGAGAAATAGATTTGAAATGACAAACAAAAGGCCAAACGTGCGCGGTGCTTAGCTTTCTTTGTAATAATTGTTGAAGTTGATTCGTAGAAGGAAATCCTCCAGATGCGGTTGATATCCTCGGTTTACAAGTTTTGTTACAACTACAAAGCAGAAGAACAACACAGTTTTAGGCTACCGATTCCACCAGGTTAACAAATCTGAATGCAATCACATGAAATTTTAATAGGATCAGAAAATTTGTAAATTAGAAGAAAAAAAAAAAAAGAAGAAGAAATTAACTGGAAACAGGGTAGCTGACAGAATTCAGCTAATTTGGTCTAAACAGAAAATATTCCACTCAATTAATGGCCTTTTGGATAACTGTTTATATATAACTTTCTGTCTAGAACCATGCAGATCTTACCTACAAAAAGAAAGTCAGAGTAATACTTGAAGGTATTGTAAGACTGTTGCATTAATCCAAAATTAGGGTGTGTAGCCATTTGTTTCCCTTTGTCGCAGGTCCACGGCTGAGAGATTAACTGTATGCGGAACTTGAGAATGAGGCTGAAAATGCTGTGGATAATATTCATCAACGGGGCAGCTTTCTCTGTGAGAAGCCCTCTGAAAAAAAAAACAATTTTTTGCACCAAAAACCTTTGACACCACAAATCCAAAAGAGAAACTACAAACACCATAACAATATTGATCTAATTAGAGGTCTCTCCATCATTTATTTCCTTAATTTGGAATGACCAAGCTCCACCTTCATACCCAGTGACATCATATGGGGAAGTCTAGCATTTACATTCACCTGTCCAACAACTTTTACAGTTTCTAATACCAGCTAACCCCATGTAGCTCAGCCTTCTGGACTTGCATGAATCTAGTAATTTACTACAAGAAATTACACAAAATTATAAGATTTCTTTAGCATACAAATAATATAGAAAGAGCACAATATTTTAAAGGGATTGATTATCATTTATCAAGTCTGAAAAATTAACAGTGCTTGGGAGGAAGTGCTTCAGGTAAGTACATCTCACCATCTCCTCCACCCAGGTGCCACAATGTAGTAAATATATGACCTGGGAAGGAGATCTTTCCAAAAAAATGCCCAGACAACAAAGGGACAATGATCTGTGATCCTCTTAGTTGCCAAGCACACTGTGCATTTATATCAAGTAGGTCAAAACAGCCAACGTTACAAACATTATCCCCCCTGCACTGCTACCACCACAGCTGTATTCTTTATAACTATGGGAAGAACACTTACTTTGTGCACTCTAAGAAAAACAATGGATGCACAACATTGTCATATAACACCTGACTGCAAAATCACATTACACAATGGGAGGGGGGCGGTATTATGAAAGTGTTCTTTTCTACAAAGTGGTCTAAAGTAGCAGGGAACAATTATCAGGGAAACGAACAGAGAACATTTTATATTTCAGCAAGCATTTATATAACATTACCGAAATATAAACCCAGATATTTGGTACCTGCTTGTTCATCAATCACGTAGCATACTTACCTAAAAAGGGCCTTGTTAAGATACTCTGCATGCGTCCTGTAAATCTCTTCCAGATTGCTGACTGTGCGCAGTTTGTTTCGGAATTCAGACCATGTGACATGCAGAATCTGATTGGCGATATATCCCTGAATAACTTTCACAAAGTGCTGCATTTCGTGGCGGTAAAGTTGCAGCTGGCGATGCTGAATGGAAGAAGAGGCTTGATTCACTAAAGCTGTGGGCAGAACAAGAAATAAAATGAGCACAAAACATTAGCAGTCACATTTCACACCACATTCTGCAAATCCTACAGGAACAAGGCGTAAAAGATTAGCAGTAAAGCTTGATCTGCTGTGAAAGTGTCAATATGCTATTTATTTTATTGCCTGTCACTGGGCTGCACTTACCGGTCCGTTTCAAATGAAACCAAACATCTCGCAAAGTCCAAACCATGTGCTTCAACTGGAGCAGAAAAGAGAAGATCTTATTGTACTTATTCATGCAGGACTCTGTTACCACAATGCTCAGAGGCCAATCAATCTTGAAGGGAGAAAAAAAAAAAAGTCACTACATTTTCAAACATTCTGTGATAACTATATCATGACGTATTAGCTGCTCCCGTTAGTACCCTACATAATCTTTATATCATAGATAAAAAAGGTTGGTTTATTTTATTTATTACTGGTATTTATAAAGCGCCAACAAATTCCGCAGCACTGGTTAAAATAGACCTTGCACCTCCATTAGACCATAAGGGTTATCACCGTTATGAAACTACACCAAAGTTAAACAAGCAGTCGTAGAATATTATAACATTAGGAAAAACGTAAAATAATTATAACTGTCTAATCTATCCCCGTGATACAATCCTCCTCTACACTAGGGGCACAATGAGTTCACCGCTGCTAGATTTTAAACAGTCACAGGCAATCAAGGTTGGCCAGTAACCTGAAGTGGTTAGCAGCTAGCTCTCCAAGGCTCAGACAAAGATATACGATGGAATGCAATGGCAGAATGGTTCAGTTTGTGATAATATGCTTTCAGTAAGCTTAGCAGAGTGAGGTGTTACAAGTTAGTTCTGTCTTATATCAGGCTGAACCATACAGAGAGTGAACGGTCTCACATCCAGCTGTCAGTTAGAGAATTCGATCTCAATGTTTCAGTACATGTTGTGCTCTATAGGGGCCGTGCTTTCAGGACAGCGAAGTGCAAACCTTTACATAAAAACACACCAAATCTTACAGGAAGCAAATTAAAAGCGGTTTACCTTATATTTTAACTCCAAGCAGCTTAATGTATCCGGGGCAGTAGGTGTAAACATTTCTGGCAGGAATTTGAGTGCAAACGAGAGATTGAATGCGAGATGAGAATCCCCATGCAGACTGTACTGCAGAGCTTTGTTCAGTATAGAATTCAGAACCAACGGAGTGAGCATCTCTCTGGGAGTTTGTCCTGATCCAAGCTGTAGAAGAAAATATTTATCAATTAACTAGAATATTTGATTGACCTCAAGTAAAGCAGCCTTGTGTGGTCCACAGGCTGAAAAGTACAAAGATCTGCAATAAATATGTATCTTTTATCTACATGTCTCCTGTGCCAACACTGGTCTCAATGACTGTGGTTGTAGCGATCTCTGTGTCTGAAATCTGAGCAGCAAGGGAGTTGGGCAAGAATGATCAAACACTCTGTATCTATTTTAAAGCTTACATAGAATTCTGGGTCCTAAGATTACCTGCTCGTAAGGATGTTTTTAATAAAAGATTGTGGTTTTTGTTGTTTGCTATTGTACCTTTGGGGTTCTGCTCAGTTTCTAGACTGCAAGCCACCATAAATGAGCCGAGAGCCCAGTCTGAAATTAAACTAACCAAACGGCCAGTTTGAAATGAAAGTTTAAGAATTTTAGCAAGATACTATAACACTAAGCTTTTGCAAAAATCTACAGAGATTGAACATTGCAGCTTTTAACCAAATAATTTGAAGACGAAACACCCAGAACGCTAGCTATTAGTAGATTTGTCGATCAGTGGAGAGCATGTTCACTTTAATCCTTACATGTGGACATAACAGTCTATGGTGTAGGCTACTAATCAAATAGAGGGTACAGCATTTGCAACACTGTTAGCATGTTTTTGGGGAGATCAGCCTCTGTTTCAAGCGCCTTTAAACACAAATCCAGGTAGCAACTTTCCCCAAAAATAAGACCGGGTCTTATATTAATTTTCCCCCCAAAAAACGCACAAAGGCTTATTTTCAGGGGAAGTCTTATTGCGGGGGAAAACGGTAGCAAGCATGTGCTAGAAAGCAAGTCTCCATTCAGGGAAATTCCCCCGAACATAGATCAGTTTACTAGGGCATGTTGGGAAACTTTCCCGAACATAGATTAGCTTACTCGCCAATAGAATCATGAGAATTCATGTTTCGGGAAAAATTCCCCGAACATAGATTAGCGAACTAGCAACTAGGGTTTATTTTCAGGGTAGGGCTTATATTACGAGCATCCCCCCAAAATAAGCAAGAGCTTATTTTTGGGGGATGTCTTACTTTCAGGGAAACAGGGATCAAATGATGTTCACCTTTATGAAGGCTAGTGTAACACACATCCATAGGTAGTAACACAACACGCTCAAACTGTGTAAAACTGTTACAGTTTTAGGAGCGATGGCCCAACTTAGGCCTGGTATTTTGTGAAGCCCTTTTTCAGTAGTCTATTTGGTTGTTTTTTTTTAATTTTTAGTATGCAATAAAAATTCTGGAGAGTAGAACTCACAGAAATAAAACTATTGAATTGTTTATCCGAGAGTGAAAAAACTATGCTAACACAAAAATGGATGGAGTGTTTACTACTGCCAGAGCTTCCAGGGCAGAGATTGGACTCAGTGTTCTACAGAAAGTGTTGGTGTACACTATGTGCAATGCTCAAATGAAGCAACACTGGATGTGACATTCTTTACTGATGGTCATTTTTCTGCAATCCATGAAAAGGATTATATTTTAAAAAACACCTTCAAGAATGAGTATTTATCTAGCAACACTTAATTTTTAACCTGTAATTACATTACAAGATTTTTAGAAACAGGTTACCTTTTCGAATAAGAGGTCACTGAGTGATTGGGCAAACTCTCCATCTTCCATCAGAAGGAAATGTCGTATAGCTTCAAAGTGCTTCTCCATGTTCAGTTCCACAAAATAGAAATCTACTATGGCTTTATTTACAAGAGAAACACTACAGAGGAAAATTATGAACAAACAAAAAACACACAAATTACCATATGTAATAAAGAATATAACAGGGACCAAAACCCACCAATACTCGATTTTACTTACTGAGACACCATGGGAGCAGTAATAGAGTATTTCATCAGCACTGGGAGAGACAGGAGTTCAATGAGCTGAACTGCAGTTTCATCTGTTGCTGAATGTACACCAGGATCCACAGGAAATTCAAACTGTCTGAGAATCCCTTTGTTCAGAGATTGGAGAACTGGAGGAGCAGCTGTATATAATATAAAGCAAATTGGAGATCTTGTGTTAACTATGATACAGTGTTACCACTCTTTTACTCCATCTACCAGTCATCTTACCAAGTACAGAAAGAGAGAAATGGATTGAGGCATAAAAAGGGGAAAGGAGTGGATGAAATGGTTGAGAGAAGGCAGAAAGAGGAACCGAAGAGAGAAAGTGTGGGAGAGGAATTAGAAAGGGAGGACTTCATTCCATACATCATTACTCCCAACGTTGGCAAGCATGAACTTGGGAATGGAAGATGGTGGGTGTGAATTAGAAGAGTAAGAGAATAAATGGGGGGGAGGTGCATTTTCTGTCTCTCAATACATACACATTAAACCATAACTGTCTTGGTATTTTTCCAGGCAATACTTGTTTGCCAAGGCCTGGAGATACCGTTGTTCTTTCTCCCAGGTTTCATCAGGAGCAGTAACTTCCTCTCCTTCCAATGCAGGATGTAGATCATCACATGGAGGGGCAGTATTTATTTCAGTCTGGGTTTCGTCTTTGCATGCAGTAGCAGAACTCTAAGATAAAAGCGAGGTTAAATAACTTTATACTGACATTAGAGTGTCAAATGCTAAATAGTTGTCAGTATTAGGTGGTCACAATTTACCTGATCATCCTGGATGGAAACTGAAGAAATATGCCTGGACTCCTTCTCTAGACTTTCTAATGGTTGGAACAAACATGGAAAAGACAAAAAATATAAAACCTTTAACAAGGTTGCATATCATAAGGTATTAGAATCACAAACAAGGACAGGATGATGCAAATGTATACATCACTTGAAAGAGATCATTTAAAATCCTGTAGTCAGATGGCAAGACATTCAGTGAATTCAAAGGGGGCAAGAATATAGAGCACAAGCAATGAATCGGGATGGAAAATATGACACACATATGTAAAACTTGGAAGAGAGAAGGGATAGCGGTATTATATAATCATATCAATTGATTTCACTAAGTATTGGAAGGTAGAATTTCTGCCATGAAGTAAATTCTAGATAAAGAGATTTTGTGATACCACCCGGTTATGTAAAGCCAATATATAACCTTTATTTTAATTGGAAGTGTGGAGAATGAGAAGGTTGTGTTAAAGAAGTGATGAGGGAAAATATGGTGTTAACACTAGGAGAACACTTGGCATAGACAGACATTCTTTTACTAGTAAAGGCTTTACATAAAAAAAAGTCTTGAGAAAACTAAAACAAAACCTGTAAGTGGTGAAGCACCATTAGGGTTATGTTCAATACCTGGAGTCGGTTTGCTTTCCTTCTCATCACCTCCAATTGCACTTGGTGATAACACAGTTTCAGCATCAGATGGAATGCTATGCTCTGAAGACTGCGCTTTGACTTCATCACATTCTTTGTTGGTTTTTTTGCTGAGGTTTGACTGTTCTCCATACAGTAAACCTTGAATAGTGGAGTCTGAAGAGTGACCATATTCAGATTTCTGGCTTGGCTTTGCAGTGCTGTCACCATTGCGTACCTGCTCTCCAATTTCGATACTGGAGTGAGACACGTGACCAAAGGAGCTACAACGGGGTTTTGAAGGTTCAACATTGGAAACATTTTCTCCAATTTGTATATGTGATTGTGAAGCATGACCGTGGATGTTCCAGCGAGGTCGTGAACTTACAACCTCTGTCATGTGCTCTCCAATCTTTATATGGGCATCTGACGCGTGTCCATGAATATTCCACCGTGGTCTTGATTGTTGAACATCTGAAACATTCTCACCAACCTTTATGTTGGCCTGGGAGGCATGTCCATGGATATTCTGTCTTGGTTGTGGTACCTCTACATCAGAAGCATATTGCCCTACCATAATGTGTCCAGAGGAGACATGGCCGTGAATATTAGACTGGGGCAGACCAGGTTCTATGTTCGACACATAAGCGCCAATATCAATGTGTGAATCTGACGAATGTCCATACTGGCTGGCCTGCGGATGCAATATTTTGCCATCTGGAATGTAGCTGCCGATTTTAATGCTAGCATCTGATGCATGGCCGTGAATATTCCAATGTGGCCTTGTAGATTGGGCATCGGGCATATTTTCCCCAATCATGATATGCCCTTGAGAAACATGAGTAAATGCTACAGGTTTTAGAACGGTGCTAAAATCATAATCATTTGGAAAACTGCCCTCCTCCTCTACTGCAGGTATAGTTTCTGTGATCTCTGTGTCCTTAGTAATATCTGAACCAATATCTTTTAAAGCATCGTCAACAAGAGACAGTTCTACATTAAGTTCAACCTGCAGCTCCCCACATGGTGAAGCTGGAATGAAATCTGCAATGTCCACATCAGGCGTACAACAGCTGGGTTCCAATGAGGGGCTTAATAATAATGAAGCCGGATTACTGCTTGCAGCTACAGTTTCTGCTACGGTTACACTGTCACTTTGCGAAATCGGTGGAGTTGGTGTTTCGTTACTTGAGGCAAAATCTTCTTTAGATTTTCCATCATTAACATCCTGTGTGATATAATTGTTTATATATTAGCATTCTCACATGATGCAGACTATAGCAGCAGTAGAAATTTGGATTTGAAAAGTTTTATTGTAGGTCTTGTGGGACCAGGGACAAGGGAAGAAACACATGCACGGCCATACTATGCAAGTAGAGCATTTTTAATTCACTATTGTATCACTGAATTAGTCAAACAGGCAGACACTCCCATAAACCAGTGTTGTGACTGACAGACACACTGTACATCAACAGACTGACTCCTTGTTTGGGAAAATAGACACCCTATACTCAATAGTTTTATTTGAGAGGAAGTGGAATTATTCCAAAAATAAGTAACTATCATAAAATACACAACAAACCTTGTGAGCATCATCGCCTAAAATAGGATCTAAGGTGTGTTCTTCAATCCGGACAGTCTTCACGTGCGGTAAAATATCCAATGTTTCTCTAGAAGCATTTACTGGAATATGTGCAATTAAATCCTAAAATAGTAAACAGGTATCATTTACAAAAAATAAAAATAAAAGAAATTGTTAAAACTGAAGGTAATTAACAAGAATACAGCTAAGAAAAAGCTTCCATTTTAGCCCCAAGTATAATAAAGCATTATATACCTGCAGACGTCTTTCTTCCTCCATAAAAAAAGACAAGCGAGCAGTTTCCAATTTATGGCGCTGGAGTTTCCAGAGTGCTTTTTGTTCTTTACGAGTGGCTTCTTCCGACAATCTGCTATAATGTTCTATTAGCTCCTGCCTACACACACACACACAGGTTTTGGTGAATAAAGATTCATATCAAGAAACAGAGGAACAAAATATGCCTGTCAAGTTATTGATATTGTCCAAGAAAAGAATTTGAAGTGGGGACAGAAGGAAAAGCTTTGTTTCAGACACCAGAATGTGAGTCACTGGTATTTTAATTACACAGAGTTACCTTCACCAGGTCCGCTGGTCATCAATTAGCAATGAGGCTATACATAAATCACTTTTGGATCTACACATTATTGAAGGTGGCAGTAGGAAATAATTTGGGATCTAGACTGCCTGTGGCTGTCCAATCAAATTTCTCAATGCAGCATGTGCTCAGAGTAATTGCTGCCTCTTTAGTTTAGCTCCACTGAGCTGACAGAGCCAGGAAATAACAGGACTGGCTGACTGACAGATGGTGGGTGTAACAAGGTTAATTTATAAAAATGCCAATTTCTACTGAAATATGTACTTTTTGGAAAATGAAGAAAAGAGGGCACACTAATCACACATACATGATGATGATAGTCAATGAAGATATAAAAATAATTACTTGGCCTTTGACTCTAGCTCTTCCTCCAAAGCCTTCAGCCTCTTCTCGCGATCTCGCATCTCCCGCGCATAACTGAAATCATCATCTGCTTCTTCTTGTTTGGCGGCAAGTTTCCGCTACAGCAATAAAGACATGAAAACAAAAACCATCTTACATTTTAGAGCAGTGGCTTTCAGGCATTTTTACAATATGACACTCCGAGGTTCAGTAAATTTTAAGTTGCTAACCCAAAACAGCCGTGTTAGGAAAAACCAACTGGGGTGCAATACAGATTTGTTCTAACACAGTTATCTGCACATCAATTTGCAAATCTTTTGTCCTCTACTAACAAATTATTTAATGAATAAGCCTTATATATGAAGGGTTGTGACATGAAAAAGACTTTTTTCTCAACGCTTGTAAATTCGTATTGAAGCAGGAGGATAAAACTGCTGGGTGGTTAAAACCCCTCCAGCCACTTACCTTAATAAGCGCCGGGCTCCCTGGGCGCTGGTGACCTCTCCTCCCTCTGCCGACGTCAGCTCTGAATGTGCATGCGCAGCCAGAGCTGCGCGCGCATTCAAACCGCCCATAGGAAAGCATTACTCAAAGCTTTCCTATGAACGTCCAGAGTCATCTCAGTGTGATTTTCACACTGAGAATCGCGGAAGCGACCCTAGTGGCTGTCAGGGAGACAGCCACTAGAGGCTGGATTAACCCACAATGTAAACATATGTCTCTGATACTGCTATGTTTACAGCTGCAGGGTTAAAACTAGGGGGACCTGGCACTCAGACCACTTCATTGAGCTGAAGTGGTCTGGGTGCCTATAGTGGTCCTTTAAGGCTGTTAAATTTCCACTTCAGAAAAATATATTACAAAAAAACAAAAAAAAAATAGTGTTTTGACATTTTCAATCTTGAAATATACTCGGTTAATATTTTAACTATCCCCTAGTTAATGAAACACAGAACATACCTCTTGGTCCTTTTCGTATTGCTCTTTCAATTTAATAAACAGCTCTCTCTTCTTTGTATTCAGAAGTTTCTTCTCTGCTAATCGTTGATCTGTTTAAGAAACAACACAAAACATGGCCATTACAAAACAGATAAACAACACTTAAAGGACTGGCAGAATGTCAGAAAAGGAGGAAGACCTTTAAACGTTTCCATGACTTTTTCTGCTGTCTCATGGGCCTGGATAATTAGTTCATGCTTGGCAATTTCAGTTTGCAAAATCTAAAGTAAATAAACAAACATTGGTCAGCTCTAAATAATGGATAACAAGTGAATACACTCATTACCTGCCAATTAATAAACTGGTGGTAAATTGTATTATATATTTTTTTAAGCAATATATATGGTTTAGAGCAGTGGTAATGTCATTCTTGCCCAAGGTATATTCATTTTCACCAGTAAGTGTTCCTTGGGCAAGATACCCAATGATATATGGACATACAAAATTTGGGATTCAGCTATGAATCTAAAAATTGGGCTAAACAAATAACACACAGTGAAGTATATCAAAGTATAAAACAAGATGTGCATAGAAAAAATACAAAGTTTTGTGCCTTCAGGGCCTACCCGATTCAAGCTGGAGAGCTCGAGCCTTCTTGACCTCCTCCTCGCCAGCAGTATGTCCAACATTGAATCCCACATTTTGTATGTACATTTGCTAATAAGAGGGCTCTTTAATTGGGAAAACCAATTTCCTTTTCTCAATTTACTCTTTAAGAATTTTGAAAATTAAAGCTCTGTTTGTCAAAATCACACTCCGCATGATGGCTTTTACGAACCTAACCTGTATATTCCTTCCAGAATCCTTTACTGCGTTGTAACCACTGTAAATGAAGGACAATCTGTAGGAAAACCAGAATGTGGATTTTGCCTTAATGTAGACATGTTTAGTGACAATCAGGTGATCTCTAGGTTCCTACAACCGTCAACCATATGACAGTTTTAATTCTATAAACGGGGTTCGATTGTTTACATTCTAAAATCTTTTATCCAGTAACTGCAGGTAACAAACAAAATGTCATCAATACATATTTATGTTGGGTCTTACTTTCTCCTCTCTGCTGATTGAGCTATAGCGTGCGATCCTCTCCATCTGAGCAACATACACAGCGCAATCCTTTTCCATTTCCTTCAGCTCCTCTAAGGAAAATGTTACAGATATTCTGGGCACTGGGATATCAGACCAGCAAATGTAATGCTGCAATATCAAATATATAGAAACAAGTCAGCATTCATAAATGTAATTTATTATTCAAATATATATATCTCCACATACTATGTATATCAGTTATGTAAGTGGTCATGTATTACAGTACTTAAATATTACCATAAACATATTTTTATTGATATCAGAATAGGAGGAGAGCAGAAATATATATGATACAATCCACCTTGTAGTATGCGAGAAATATCAAACACAAACAATAAATAACCTACATAAGTCAAAAGATGTATGACATACGGAAATAAAGAGAGGAGACCACAAAACCCCAACGTTTCGACCCTTGTTCTTTTTCTAGGGGATCTCCTTGTAATGTTGGGGTTTTGTGATCTCCTCTCCTTGGTTATTTTGAAGGTAACACTGAAGGAATAATGTAGGTTACTCATTTTTTATGTGTTTGATATTTCTTGCATACTACATAATGGATTGTATCATATATATTTTGATACTAATAAAGATATATTTGTCTTAACACTGAGCGCTATGGTACATTATAATAAGTATTGATTATTTCATAACGACGTCATAGGATTTCTCCATATAGTACCCTACCAAGTGTTGAGCATTTCATCCTTACTGTGGTGCGCTCCTACAAAGATTCTTCAAATGTATGTATAGCAATACAACTCATTTAACCCCTTAAGGACACATGACATGTGTGACATGTCATGATTCCCTTTTATTACAGAAGTTTGGTCCTTAAGGGGTTAAAGCCATTTCAGTGCACTGTAACACAAAAACAATACTAATTTTAAAATGTTCCAAATAATGTGTCAGGACTGAGGGTAGGGGATAATTAACTACAACATCCACAAAACTATTTTATACAGCTGCATTATTGAAGCAAAAAGGGAAACAGCGCAGGATGGAAGGACAGAGCAGAAAGAGAGGGCTTACAAAGCTAAACAGATTATAAAAAAACAAAAAGAATCCACCATAAGTCCCTTGAAGTAACAGAAAAACACATACTATGTAACCTATAAAAGCAACTTGCCTTGGGGCAGCACAGTTTCAATAAGTTTATAGTTTTCCCACAAATGTAGATCTCGTTAGCAAGGTGCTTTAAAAATACAGGAACGCAGTCTTCTACTTCTTTGGAAATAAAAGTATATCCATGCGTCCAGTAGCGTCGATCTAATAAAATGGGAGCCAAATGTTAATTAGAAATAGATGTGTTTTATCATAAACATGTAGTGTGAGATAACACGTCAATACCTCGAAATCCAAGAAAGTCTTGATTCACTTGAATCATAAATTCCCCGCAGACGTCACGGAAGACACCACTATATACCCAATCGTAGACAAATCTGGGAGTGGAAAAAACAACAAATGTTATCGAGAATAGCATCAAACATAACAGTGCTGATTAACTAATCTAATTTCCATAAAACATGTATGAGAAAATGCTTATTGTTTTAATGGTTTGAAAGATTTTTTAAAAATATATTTTAGCTTCTCTGCAGAAGAATGTGTTACTAATTGTGGCATCAATGGCACATATAATTAATCTCCCAGGTAACCCTGGAATCGCCGCACTACAATGTAACACTTTACAAAATGAGATTTAATTAATCATTATTTCCTGCTGTGCAACTCCAATATGAAACGTGTTAACTGCAAATGTCTTTAAAAGGAAAAGAATTGTATTGAGGTCTGGCAATATGCCTGAATACAGAATGCACCTGGCATGGTTGACTAGATTTATTACCTATTATGCGCTAAACTTTTTTTTTTTATTTTTTTTTTTTGTATATTGTATTTTTGGACTATTGTACCATAATGTAACAATGCGATGTTTTGTGGACACAGGACATACTTGAAAATTAGAGAAATCTCAATGTATCCTTCCTGGTAAAATATCTTATAAATAATTACATTTGAAAGCCTATTCACTAAATGTGAGATTAAACGTCCCATATACTAAACCCCCCACCCATCAATGAATTAAGGTCTATTCTAAATTACCTTGTGTAAGGCTCACAACAAGTTTTCAATAGTGATAACAAGACTGGGTAATTTTCATTGCTGCCATTTTCAAGAGCTTCCTTATAGAGATAAGAAAGCAGTTTGACTCCCTGGAAGAAACAAAGGCTAGTTCAATGAACACAGATACCCTGATCGAGCACAACAGTTGTGAGATCCAGTTAATGAAAGGTGCAGCAGTAGTGTAAAAAAAAAAAAAAAAAAACAAGATGGAAAAAAATAAATAAAATGGGGGGGAGGGGCATTGCCTTATAAAATGTTCACAATTTTCCATCTAGAGTCTGAATGTCACGTTGTATAGATTTTGTCTAAATACTGCTCAATTTATTTATGTTTGCCTGTGAAGTGACAAGTAACCAGATGCTTCTCAATATTAAGAATCCCAGGAGGTGAGAAGTAGGTCACAGGCTAGCGTTTGTCTTTTCGACTTCAGAGTGTTTAAGAATAGCATCAATCAGGTCAGAAGGACTCCTTTAGGTAAATATAGGATCACCTACAGATTGCAGGCGATCTATTACAAGTTCTCCAGGAACTTCTAAGTATGGCATCCACTCAGTCGCACATGAATGTTGAGTTTATAAGGAATTTTCTTTGAAAAGGCAGTAGCCCCCCAATGCTTCTCTATGCGAAAGCATTGGATTGGTTGAGAACATTAGCTCAAACTGGCTTGGCACGGAAAAGAATGTGAGTAAATAATTGTTTTCATCTCTTAAATATAAAAAAGCATGAGAACACTCCAACATCAGAAATACACTTTTGTATTTCTAATGTTCGATGTCTCCTTTAATTCCACTTGTCTCCCTTTTTGTTGCTAAACAGCGCCCATTTGATGGTTATAAGACGATAGTAGAGTCTGACCATCAGTATACCCATGCAGTGATGTCAGACAGGAAGAGTCCATACTTACTGTGGGAAACAAAGCACTGTTCCCCCTACACACACCAGAGCCCAGCGTCCCAATGCAGCACAGCTCTGCTAGGTATCTGAATACAAATTGTAAGGAAAAAAAATGATTAAAATACAATTATGATTTTATCACAACAGCCCAGATCATGCAAATGCTAGTAATCACGGAATTCAACAGTGATCCTTCCTGAGCTGGATAATACAATTTGTACACAGTCAGGTTTTGACATATAAACAAGTCGGATAATTTTCTAAGCTTATCTGGCCTAAAATGTGCAAATTTAGTTTTCAATTGCCAGTTCTATTATTATAATGTATTTGAAAATGAAACATTCTGATTAAATAAAAAGTGTTCTCGTTACAGCTGTATCTTGGTCAATGTTCCCCTGGATAATGTGCTACAAACATTCAAGAGGGTACTGACATATCTAGAACAAATCCCATTATTCTGAACCCTATGTAGGCTAGCTTGAGTGTGCTGTATCTATGCTTTAATCATTTTAATACAGAATTCATATGAAGGTTCACACATTTACCTTAGCTGACGTCCTAATTTCCTAAAAAGGAAGCTGATTGTGAGCAAGGTAAGTGTTCCAGGAGTTGATAAAACACATGCGCGATAATACTGCAGGTATTTCCTAAGGCCACTTGTAAAAGCCTGCAAAGAGACACAATACACTTTATAATAGAGAACAGCGTGTGCTCTGTACACAATAACAATATGTAATTCTTCCAGATCAAAGTATAAATAAAACAATATAGAACGTTTTAAAATGTGTACATCTACCTAATTTTACTATTCTTCATCTTGTCGTTACACACTTTGTGTTAACACCATGGAGCATATTATATCCCATGAAATCATAAAAACACAGATTCTGCTGTCTTATCGCTAAAATATCTAATGTGAAGGAATTGGGGGGAATAAATAGTTATTGTAACTAATCCCTACATTTGGGAATAATAAATGAAATATCTGCACCAAAAAAAAGAACTTTAGTGTATTTTAAATAAAAATACTGTAGACATACTGTAAGCACAGTGCTAAAGATATGTTGAACTACATAAAGCCAAACATGCTACTAATACAGTGACTGTAGACCCTGGGGTCTAGACCCAAATTTTGGGTCTCCAACAATGTTTAAGTGGGTCACAATTGGTAGAAACAGGCATTGTCAGACACTAAGCAGCTGTCCACAACACATTTACCGTAGCAGAAGCATGTTTCCCAGTGTAACCCCTTTCACTCTGGGAAGGCTCAAACGGAGGAGATTTTGCAGAACCGATTTTGCTGTATATTATATAACAATGGAAGAATGGATCACTGAGCTAATTTTATATTTGAAGAATAGAATACAAAACTAATTTAATAATGAGAAATACCATAGGCAATCTTATGTATTGTTGGACACATATACATTCTTGAAAAGGTCCAACAAAGCGTTGTAACCTAGATCTCCTTTGTTAAACTAAAAAGTCAACTTTACTGTGGCAATAATTAACAATTCACGAGGCTGAGTCCCAGTATGGATCATATAAGCACTTGAAACATTACTGTGGCGGAACCGCTGCCTGTTCGTGAATTTCCAGTTTTATGTTATGTGTTTACCTATCCTTTCATGTATGGTGCCCGTTCCCCGTTCGGGAGTGCTTCCACAAAGGGAATTAATTCGACTCCCAAATGGGGACCACCCCGATACCTCATTAAGAACGCCAGGTTAAAAAGTTCTCACCTCGCAACATAAGTGTCAAACCGCAAACCGCAGGGGAAACAATTAATGAGCGCTCCAGAGTGGCCGCTATTTCGTTAGATGAACGCCAACCAGGGGGAGCGTTCGTGGGTGGTTTCCTGGCTTGTTTGTTCCCAGAACGAGGACCTCCCCAGCGTTCGATTAGAATGTTCTCACCAATTTATCCGAACACTCGCACTTGCAACATAGGTGTGAAACCGCAATGGAAGTAATTAATGAGTGCTCCTCTGGTTGGCCGCCATTCTTACCGACGAGCGTCAGTCAGGTGGAGCATTCATACCCCGAAAGTAGACACTTCCCTTGTCTGGGTTTCACACCGGGACCTCATGAACAGAGACTAGCTGAGAGAGGAGCCATTGTGTGGGGCCCTGAGACTGGTGTGGATGCTTTTGGGGCACTGGCAAGTTTGGCGGGTTTTCCTATGCCCGAGGGACAAAGACTAGTTTCTTTTCCCACGGGCTGGGCTTTTCTGTGCCCCACAGAGGCTCCTGGGGAGAACACCCCCTGGCATCTGGTGTGGGAAACCCTGTGTTCTAGTGGCAGGCTTTGGGGACAAAGGGAACAGAGTCCTCTTCCCATGCTAAGGCCTCAGGGAGAGGGAGGATCTTGTGATGTGACAATGTACAGTTGTGTGGGAGACCCCTTGCATGGGGATATGCATAAAAGCCGTGTGTGGCCAATAAAATTGTGTTGTACCTCCAGGACTGTGGGTTGTCCAGTTACTGGGGAGAAAATGGGTCTCTTTCTACTCTAAGTGGTTCCTGACCAGCTGAAGGAAGGCAATTAGCAGAGGTAAACGATCGGGTTACCCTGGGTCCGCTACATGGGTGTAGGAACCGGGGGGGTGGGGAGGGGACACATCCCCCCCAGCAAATCATGCTGGGGGGACAGGTTATAGAGAAATCCCCCCCAGCTCCGCCGGCCATGGGTGGCTCCATCAGGGAACCGCACGCACTGCAGACTGGGAAGGGGAGCATCTCCCCTTCCGCACAGGAGCGCCGGGTGTCACGTGACTACCCGGCGCTCAGTCTGACACTGCGCCCGCCAGACGTCCAGAAGTCCCCCTGCTGTGTCAGGTAAAAGGGGGGGACAACAGTTTGTAGGGGGGAGAGCAGAGCCGGTCACCTCTGAAAAGAAAAAAAAAACAGCTGCCTGAGCATTTTTAGTGTTAATTAATGGAAGGGTTAAAGAAGGGGCGATGGAGGAGGTAGAAAAATGAATGTAAGCGGTTAGGGGGGGGCCTCTAATATGGATGGGAGGAAGAAAAATATTTGGAAGGGGATAGGGGGTCTACTAATATGGATGGGATGAGGGGGAAGGTAGAAAAATAATTGGAATGGTTTAGGGGGGCTTCTAATATGGATGGGAGGAGGGGGAAGGTAGAAAAATAATTGGAAAGGGTTAGGGGAGTACTAATATGAATAGAAGGGGTAGGGTGGGTTCTAATATGCATGGAAGGGGTTGGAGGGTACTAATATGCATGGAAGGGGTTGGGGGGTACTAATATGCATGGAAGGGGTTGGGGGGTACTAATATGCATGGAAGGGGTAGGGGTGGTTCTAATATTCATGGAAGGGGTAGGTGGGGTTCTAATATAAATGGAAGGGGTAGAGACAGGTAGTAAAATGTATGGAATGCACTTCTGAGAGTGTAATTGAATGGTAGGTAGGAAATGTGGTCACCCTAAGTCAGGGGCAGTATTACACAATCTGTATATGTATAAACAAATATAAAAAGAAATCTGCAAAGTACAAAATGTTTGTGTCAAATGTCGTGCTAAAAATTAAGCTAGGAATGTGCATTTAAAAAAAAAAAATTTTAAATACTTTTTAGAGTAATGATACAGACATTTTATTTCTTACATTTGTGATGATTCTTTTTTACCTTCTAGTTTCAAGGGACACTATAGTCACCAGAACCACAACAGCTAAACGTAGTAGTTCTGGTGTCTATAGCATGTCTTTACAGGCTTTTTAATGTAAGCACTGACATTTCGTAAAAAGGCAGTATTTACATTACTGCTGAGGAATACCTCTAGTGGACACTCAGATGGCCACTAGAGGTACTTCCTAATCGAGACATGAATGCCGCCCTATGAAGTACCTGCGTATGTGCGGCAAAGCTGCGCATGCGCACCAGGGAGCAATGACGCTTCTGAATAGAAGTGTTTTATTGCTCCCTGTTCGCACCCTCCTATTTCGTCATTTTGATTAAATAGGGGGCGCGGCATCAGGAGGATCCCTGCGCTGTATCTCGGTAAGTAAATCCCCTTCCCTGTAGTGACCCTTTAATGTTATTATTTTATCATTTATATAGCGCCAGCAAATTCCGTAGCGCTGTAAAATAGGATAAACAACTCCTAATTTACGGAATAAAAATATACCCGGTGAGTAAAAATGATATCCCCCCAGATTTTTTGGGGTTCCTACGCCCATGGTCCGCTACAATCACCTTATACATATCATGCAGCCTTGCACATGGTCATAGGCAACATTATTAAAATTACCTGAAAAACAAGTCCTTTACTATGTGACGAGTCCAGAACAGTTTGTAACGAGAAGCAGCTCAGTCTAGTGTAATAGGTCCCGTATTCCCCAACCTGGGTCAACAGATTGCTGATGTTCTCGGGAGTTGTTCCAGATATGTACACTCCTTGTTTCACTATAAAAGCTTGAGTGGACTAGCAGTGGAGAGAGAAAGTAAAAAATTCAACATTGAAGTCAGAAGGTGCTATAAACAAGTCCATGTCACAGAAATACACTATATTTAGTAGGGGTAAGTAGACAATCTACTTACAGTGTCTGTTCTTGGTTCTCCCTAATTATAATGCACTATACTCTCTTTGCATTGTTCTTGCAATATGGAGGAAATTACAACTATTTTGCCTTCCTTACAAGCATATTAAGGTGGATAAAAAGATGGCAGCAGTTGGGTTAAGGTGGAGGTCTGGAAAGATTTGACCGTTACCCTAGTTCCATTAGAATTGTAAAGATTTCAAGTTGGGCTTCTAAGAACTTAAGGAAAACTTTTGAATATGTTCCTCCCTTGCCACCTAGTGGAGCAAATTTTAATGATCACTGGGGAGCTGGACTTGCTTTGTCTATCTCGGTGGTTCCCAAACCAGTCCTCAAGGCACCCTAGCAGTCCAAGATTTAAGGATTACCCAGCTATGTCTAAGGTGTTTTTAGAAATAAATACCTTAGACACAACCGTGTAACCCCTAAATCCTGGACTGGTAGGGTGCCTTGAGGACAGGTTTGGGAAGCACTGGCCCACCCAATATACTAACTTTAAGGTACAGCATTGACTGTTCAGCTACCTGATTAAAGGAGAATGTAGAGGACACAACACCAAGAAGAGCATTGAGCGCATCCTTCACCAGCTCTGGTTCTGTAACCATGACATTCTGTGATGGCTGAGGGACCGTGTTATTCAGGATTTGCAGAGTCCCTTCATAGATTTTATATAGTCTGTCAAAAGCTTCCCGTCCTGCTTCTGTAAGGTACGGATCTTCTCTCTTGCCAGGTGGACTGTATACAAATCAAAATGCATTAATTAGAAGAAAATACACAACTACATGCAGTGAGTTTCATGAAAAACAACAGATATGAAATATACAAATAAATAATAACACATGGGTCTCAATCTTTCCTGATCTACATACACATGTTCATATCACCCATAGAAAACCTTTCATTAATATTCATTCTCACAGACACACAAAGTTAACCAGTGGGTTCAATATTGACGAATTAAACCGGCAGGAGACAAATATGAAATAAATTTGGATCCATAGCATTGTGCCTCGAGAGATTTGCAAAATTCACGTGCTGAATTTTCTCTGAATGTTTGGCTATTACAATGTTTAGATAAAATTGTACACGTTTTATTAAATACTGACGTCATCTTTTCAGATGTGCACTTTAAGAATCAAATATATAAAAAAATACTACAGTTACTACATAAGACAAAAACAAGTCGTAATGGGGACACCTTCAATTAAACAGAAGGTGCACTTTAGATCTATTTCCTCTCACGGGCATTATACGGTAATGATTGTTTAACACAAATCAAATTAAAACTATTAACTCAACAAATTCACTAAAAAAAAAAATTCTAAAAATTGAAATCCATGATGAACCTGTCTTCTGGGAAGCATTCGCTTGAAACAAGATTTCTAAATTACAAAAAGCAGTTTAGACTATAAAAATAATTTATAGTGGAAGCGTTAAGGAAGCATCTGATGCTTCTGACACACATGCCTTCCTATTTAAGGCCTTAAAAAAGTGCAAAAGGCCCATTTACAACAAGGAAACCGTGGACTGCAGCAAAATGTAAAAACAGAACTGACCCAAAACAAAATTACCTTGAATGCAAAATATGACCCTCCATAGAAAGACTATTTCATTGAAGCAGAGAATTGACTCATACGCACATAAAAGAATAATATAAGTAATATGCCCACTAGAGCTCTGAAATGTGCTGCATGGTCACTGGGGAGTCGAACTTACTGTAAAACCAACTGCAGTTCATGTTGGCAAATGGACAGGGTGTATTAACAAAATGAATTGGCTGGAGATGCCTGTGTGCACTTACTCAGAAGATGAATTGTCCCTTTTACATTATCAAGTGTACATTATTATTGTTATATATTTGGTGCATTTAATGCAATATGCAGACACAGACAATCACAGGATAGATACTGGTTTGCTGATTGGTATAAACATTTACTTCTCTCCCTGTCTGAAATATGTTGCTTCTGCTAAGAAAGGATGTGTTTGCCTGGCAGTTCCACACAGTAATAAGATTAAAGAAAAACGCCACACTTCAATACAAAGTGCCAACCTAGCCTCTCTTTGTGTGGCCAGCCCCTCAAGATGTAGCACAAGGACAAACAGACTTGTCTGAAATCTCTGAAAAAAGACTGACAAGTTGATTTCCAAACATCAGGCAGTCTATTCTTATTATGTTATTTATATAGCGCCATCAAATTCCGCAGCGCTTTACTATGGGTGGACGAACAGACATGTAGTTGTAACTAGACAAGTTGGACACACAGGAACAGAGGGGTTGAGGGCCCTGCTCGATGAGCTTACATGCTAGAGGGAGTGGGGTAAAGTGACACAAAAAGGTAAGGATAGTATTAAACTAGTGATAGTTGCAGAAGAGGAATCAGTCGGGAGCTATTAACAGTTTAATTGATATGCTTTTATAAAGAAGTGGGTTTTTAATGATTTTTTGAAGGAGTGGAGACTGGGTAAACATCTAACGGAGGAGGGAAGCGAGTTCCACAGGAACGGTGCAGCCCTCGAGAAGTCTTGAAGGCGAGCATCAGAAGTGGGAGTACGGACAGAAGATAGACGTAAGTCTTCAGCAGATGTGTATTAGGGAGGATAGATAGGTGGGAGCAGCATTATGCAGAGATTTGAAAGCAAGAACCAGAATTTTAAATTGAGCCCTATATCTTACAGGAAGCCAATGTAGGGACTGACAGAATGGTGAGGCGTGGGAGGTGCAGGCGGACAGGAAGATGAGCCTCGCCCCCGCAATCATAATGAACTGAAACGGCGCAAGTTGGGAGCACATTAGACCACTGAGATGCGGATTACAGTAGTCAAGGCGAGAAAGGACAGTGGAATGGACCAGCACCTTAGTTGCATCTGGCGTTAAGTAGGGTCGGATGCGCGCAATGTTTTTGAGATGGAAACGACAGGATTTGGCGATAGATTGAACATGAGGCTTGAAGGAGAGGTCGGAGTCAAAGAGAACACCTAGGCAGCGAGCCTGCGCGGTGGAGCTGATGGTAGCACCATTGACTTGGAGGGAGACAGACACAGGAGTAACAACACTTGAGGGAAGAAAGACCAGAATTTCAGTTTTGGTCAAGTTTAGTTTAAGGAAGTTGGCAGCCATCCAGTTAGAAATAGCAGAGAGGCAGTCAGAGACACTAGTCAAGAGGGACAGGTAGATTTGCTTGTCCTCTGCATAGAAATTATATTGGAAGCCAAATGAGCTAATGAGTTTACCAAGGGAGGCAGTGTAGATGGAGAACAGTAGGGGACCAAGGACAGACCCTTGGGGAACACCAACAGAGAGGAGTTCGGGAGAAGAAGCAGAGCCAGAGAAAGAAACACTGAAAGAGCGCTGGGAGAGGTTGGAGCACCAGGAGAGAGCAATATCTTGTAGACCGATATTGCGGAGGATGAGAAGAAGCTGTTGATGATCAAGGAGAATTAGGATAGAGTAGTGACACAGCGAGTAGATCATTGGATACTTTGGTCAATGCCCTTTCCACAGAGTGCTTAGCACGGAAACCAGACTGAAGCGGGTCTAGCAGAGAGTTGGACTCGAAGATTCTTCACCTTCTTGACATTAGCATTAGAGGCAATTTACATAGGCCTCAATTTAATATTTCTGAACAAGATTTCTAAATAATTTAATAATTTTAAATAAACATTTTAAATGATTTATTATGAAAAATAGTTTAGTTTTGCAATAGTTTGACAGTTTTTAAATCATGTGGAACAGTGTTTTGGCAGCAAATTTCTATTTAGTTTTGAAAGAGTCTTTTGACTAAAAAGTCATTTTGGTTTTAGTCGTATTTGAGTCATCTGAATTGTTTTTCGTTTTAGTCTACTAAACCTCCAGTAGATTTTAGTTGACACAATGGGTTTTCTTAAAGCCTCCTCTGTCTGTCTCTTTTACCCCTTTCCACAGCCCCTCTGTATCTCTTTGTGCCCCCCCAGCGCCTCTGGGTATCCTATCTTTCCTCTGTCTACCCTATTTTTGAGTCTCTTCCCGCCAGACACACTCTGTCGCTTTGTGCTCCCCCAGTTCATGCATCTCATCTTCCCCCACGTGTTTCAATCCCCACAGTCCCCCACCATGTGTTTCAATCCCCAAAGCCCCCCCCATGTGTTTCAATCTTTTCCCTCCCCCATGTGTCTACCCGCCAGTGTTAATTTTGGTGGCCAATTTCAATTTAGTTTTAGTGCTAGTCTTTTGACTAAAAAGCTATTTTAAATCTCATACATTTTAGTTGACTAAAACCAGACTAAAATTGTTAGTTGACAAAATTAACACAGATTTGGAAAGTGTATCCAACAATATTAAAATATCATGAGTTTGGATATTTCCGTCTGAGTTGTAGTACTTGCCTTTAGATTCACGGTTTATTAAAACATTATCAAGGATTGTAAACTATGTGACACAATATATAATGAAAGAAGAGAAACAACATCAGATAAAAACACTGCATATCCACATTACATCCATTACGATTTAATGACTGAATCATGTTAGATTGAACAACTTAGGGGCAAAAATGCATTCTATTGGTAAAAGTGGTTGGATAAAGGTGACAATTGTTCAAAGAGGATTTTTGTAAGAATATGGAGTACCTGAAGTTTGGGAATCAACTGCAAATGCAACAGCCTTAACTAGATCATTCTTATTATCTACAGTATGCACACAAATTGGTCATTTGCAGCCTGTAGTGTCAGAGTCAGTGAAGTTTCTATTCATTCCAATGAGGAACATGACATCATGATCTCAAATCTTCAGTATTTCCTCACTGGAAGAAAAGGGAGCCTAGAGATTGGTTTAGATACTACAACCACTTATTGTTGGTTGACAAGAATAGCAATAGAGGAATGTCAAATACCAGGGGTTTAATGTAAGAGTGAAGTGTGTGTGTGTACATACAAACATACATACAGTCTAGTATGTTTGGTTTTTGTCTTTATCACTATAGAGCAATTCAAGTCTTCCTGTTACTGACTGTGACTCACCAACCAATTCTTTCCCAGCAGCGACGTTTGCTGGGTCCATAGGTGAGAACTGCCTCCCATAAGTCTATGTCAGGGGTCACGCTTGGCTCGGACTGAGAATCTGGGGTCATATTTGAAGCAGACTGGAAACCTTCATCTTCAGACTGGTCAATACTTTGCGGAACCTGAAGACCAGACATAGGTCATTAGAATGTCAAAATAAAACCTTAATTACAAATAGCAAATGTATAAAAACATTTAGTAGATAAATCTCTAATGAAAACATGCAAGAATTAAATTATGTATTTTTCATTGGGGTATATAAAAAACAGCTTGCAAAAGATACAGATCTGCTTTCTGCAGCCTTTTCAAGCCCTCCCCTACTTTCCTGTCCCAGACCTTCTGTGGCTGTCCAAGCACAGAACTAAACTACAGGAAGTAACAGGACTAGTTGTTTGATTGGCAGCCAAGGGGTTTGATAAGATTAATTTATAAAAGTGCCAATTTCTGTACTTTCCCCCCCCATTTTAAACAGGAATCTAAAGAGCTTTAGGCGTTTGGGGTGTTTCCTGTGCCACACAATACATTGAAACACATCCTTCAAATGATGATAGGCAAGGCAAATTCACACTTTGACCAATAACAGAGCAAAAAAAATAAATAAAAAAAAAACAGTTTACAGAAAACATTACCACAAACACTAGCTGTTTCCCAAAGGGCAACGCAAAAAACACCACATTAACTGAACCTGTGATGTAAGAAGAAGGAAAATGGTATAAACAATATCATCAGAAAGTGATCCCATTTACAAGAAATATAATGAATATTGTGATCATAACACAAAAACCAACACCAAAAATAACACAATTTTACAACTCCACAATGCACAGTGTACATACGTGTACAAATATTTCCCAATGATGAGAGGTTTGTTATTGTGCCACTTTGAGAATTTTGTTCACATTTACTTTTGGGGGGAAGGGAGAGAGGAATACTAAGAGGACACTATAGTCACCAGAACTACTGCTAATTGAATTTGTTCTGGTGAGTATAGTCAGTCCCTTCAGCCTTTTTGCAGTAAACGCAGTTTTTTTTCAGAGAAAATGCAGTGTTTACATTACAGCCTAGGGATACCTCCACTGGTCACTCCTCAGATGGCTAGGAGAGGTGCTTCCCGAGGCAGTGCTAATGCGAGCAGCGACGATAGCAGTGATTGGCTGTGAACATCAGCTGACCATTTCCAGCAGTCGCTCATTGCTGGTATGGATTGGTATGGCTAGGGCTGTGTAGAACTCCAACTTGAATTATGAAATATACAAACATGTATGTGCTGCATGGAGGGGTCATCGGACAACACCCTTCAAAGTGACATGTTCTATATGACCAGAAAGGTACACCTTAAAGTGTAATAGCATTTTATAAGTAAAAGCACACTATGATCATAGCAGTACCTGTTTAATAGCACTGTAAACAGGTATTTAGCTTACTTCAAACATTGCCAGGATTATTCACTGAAAACCAAATTTTCAGTAAGCCAACGTTGCTTAAATTTTGCAATTCTCCAGAGATCCATAACATAAATGCACAACTAGAAATTATATGAATAAAATAATGAATATGCTTTACTTTTATAGCCAGTCCGGAAAGGTCTGCGCTGTCTGGCACAGGAGGCAAATCCAGCTTAATATCCATGTCATTAGTTCGACTGTGAACAAGTGCCCCAAAAAGTGACACACGAGTTTCTCTCTCAAATTTGTCAATGGTGGTAAAGTTCTGAGAAAAGAGGCCTATGGCTGGAAGACCAGTACCAGGTTCTCCTTCCATTATCTGAAGGGTTCTGTGCACAGTGTTGCTTATCTCACACTCTTGATGAGCCAGAAATGTCCCAAGGTCAGCTTCAAATATGCTAACATCATAGTAATCATAGCCATGGTAGCGTGGTTTTCTCCCCACATATTTGTTATTTTGGAAGAGATCTCGTTTTGGTGGAAGAACCTGAGGTGGTCCAGTTCCTGCAAGATCTATTAAAAGCTCAAGAACTGCATAAACATCCCCGACTTGAGTGTCACTGGTCTTTTCTACATGTTCCACTAGTTCTTCTAGTCGCTCAGCCTCCAAATCCATTCCACCCATACGTAGATTAAAAGACAACATAAGCATCTTATTTTTCACTGGGAGTTTTGTGGTATTTGGCTGTAGCCTACGGACCTCCTCTTGAAATAAGTGTACGAAAAGCGTGTCATAGGCCAGCCTCTTAAGACTTTGTTTGGTCCTATTCTTGTTCCTCTTTCTGGTACCAATCCCCGTTGTCCATGGGAACCCCACCATGTGAGATTCACAAAGGTCATTAAAAAGCTGGGTTATGCTGTTCATCTTGATTGTTAGATTATTCAGCTTATTAGAAGGAATCTACTTTCTTTCATTTGAATGGGTGACATGATACACAGCTACATCTGCAAAACATAAACAGTAAGTTAACACATTATATCACTATACATATAGTTAAGTATTATAAGCTCAGCACAACTAAAAACCCAATAGAGAAGAGATAGGCGAGCTTCGGCACTCCAGATGTCATAGATTGTAGCTGGTAAAGAATTAGGGGAGATGTAGTCTACAACATTGGAAGTGCTGAGGGTTGCCTATCCTGCTGTAGACCTTCTAAATGCAGTTCTTGAAATATATAAACACAATGCTGTAAAAATGCCTTTGTTTATGTTGGAGAAGTCATTTTTGTTTAAAAAATAAAAAAATAACTTGAAGTGAGCTCCATCTCTTCCCAGGAGAAACAGTGGAGATGCAGACTGCAAACCTGGAAATTGTGACTGCCAATGACAGCACACAGACTGTTTTATTAAATAGGAATTGATCTACAACCAACACTCTATAAGACATTATGTAGCTAATGTATTAAAAGTGGAATATGGATATTAAATATGTAATAAGACACACATTGCTTCATAATGAAATACATGAATAAAGCAATACTGCAAGTAGCAGGTGTGACTTTTTATAATGAAAGTACTCGAGAGATGTCACACTAACTATTAGGTAAATGTTGGGCGAGATTTATGGTGTATGCATTCTCTTATAATGCTTGAAAATAGAACGGGGGAAACAATGTCAACTTAGAGTGTCACTTTAGTAAATACTAAAAGATTGAAAAAAAAAAATACAGAAAATTGTGAGACAGTTCCCTTTTTACAGTTTTTGCATGTTTATTATATATTTTTACAGATATCAATTATTTTATGCAATAATGTATAATAGATGATATGCAGACTTATTTTTCAGGTCATAGCAATAGCGTAGTTCATTACAATACTTTGGGTTCCTAGTTACTTTTCACTTCTACAAATTGATGGTCTGTTTGTGCAAAGTGCAGCCCCATAGTATATAGAAGTCCAATGCTGCAGGAGCCAATCTAATTATCTATTCAAGTTCCTTTGGGATTTCTCTTTAATCAATTAATAGATTTCCACTCTCCTCCCATATGAATTCTTAATACCACATAGCAGCACTTTAAACCTGCTGCCCATAACCATGCATCAGTGATGTTTGCCCAGAAAGACATGGTGAATCCTGCACCATCTCAGCACGGATGTCAGTATTAAGATTTGTATGAGCTCATTCAGTTAACCTGAATTGTTCACGTGAGATTTGTGAAAAATGGTTGTGCATATTTATTTATAACTCATGCGGTCCTATTTTATCCCTTTACATTCCATTCCAGCCACTTTAGATTAACCACACAGTGCCATGCACATGCCTGTGTATGGCATTGTTGAAAGAATGCCAGAGTGTGCACACATTTCTTTGCCATTTCTGTGTAGATGCCCAAGGCGGCATGAAGGCATCTGAAGCTAGCTGGGGTGGGAAAGTCGTAGATACTTGGATAAGTAACAGCTTTTTTTCTTTCCCCAGTTGTTTTATTTACATTATAAAACACAATATTTACTGATGTTGCAGAACAAGGAATGATCACCTCCAGAGAAATGTTTTACATTAAAGGCACACTTTAGTCACTCACACCACTTTACCTCAATGTGAAATGGTCTGGGTGCCAGGTCCCCCAGGTTTTAACCCTTCAGATGTACACATAGCAGTTTCAGAGAAACTGGTATGTTTACATTGTAGGGTTATTCCAGCCTCTAGTGGCTGTCTTCCTGACAGCCGCTAGAGGCGCGCCCCCGATGCGCAATGCCAAAATCACATTAAGCACGCAGAACGTCCATAGGAAAGCTTTGCGAAATGATTTCGTATGGGCGTTTTTAATACATGCGCGGCTCTGGCCATGCATGCGCATTCGGCTGCACTCGGGAGGAGAGGTCACAAACGCCGAGGGAGCCTGGCGCTGGATAAAGGTAAGTGGCTAAAGGGGGGCCCTGAGGGTGGGGGGATCCTAAGGATTATAGAGTGTCAGGAACACGGGTTTGTTTCCCTGACAATATATATCAGAATAAGCACTGTGTCCATATCATGCTGATGGACTGCACATGAAAACATAATACCCCTGCAGTATATAGAATTCATGTCACGTGTGCCCTCAACCATTAGTCACTTTGTTTCCCTCCTGCAGTATATGAATACCACATACGGCCCAACCTTTAGATTGTAAGCGCCCGGCTATCTAGCAAAGCACTCTGTATAACATATCTTCAGGGGCTTGATCACCGCTCACGGGCAGCGCCCTCTTTACCTTTTGTATGGGTCTGTTTATAATTGTACAGCGCTATGGAATATGTTGGCATTTTAAAACTGCCAGTGATATATAAATACAATCAACCTGTACATGTGATGTGTGTCCTCTGACAGCCTGAGCAGGGTGTTACCAGGACCAGCTCCCTCAGACCATGGTGCCCAGTGTTTGGGTGATGTGTGGCAGTGAAAATGAGGCTAACGAGAGTGTCTGGCAGTGAGGCTGAGGATGATGGGAGTGCCTGACAGTGAGGATAATGGGAGTGTCTGGCAGTGAGGCTGAGGATGATGGGAGTGCCTGACAGTGAGGATAATGGGAGTGTCTGGCAGTGACGCTGAGGATGATGGGAGTGCCTGACAGTGAGGATGATGGGAGTGTCTGGCAGTGAGGCTGAGGATGATGGGAGTGTGTGGCTATTACATAGGCAGGTTAAATAGTCCCCAGCAGTTCTAATACTCCAATGGCTGGCAGAGCATGGTGGGAGTTACAGTAGCTGTGCTCGGCTTCCCGCCCTTACCTCGGCCGGTGCAGCCCTCACAGACAGCGCTCTCTGACTAACAGCAAACACGCTTCTACTTCCGGGTCACGGCTGACAGCTGCCCAGCAGATGCACAACTTCCGGCAGCCGCCACTAGTTGCTTAGCAACAAATGGATACTGGTAGCGCATTGAGCTCTGCAGCTATTGGTTGCTCTCCGCCACGCCCTCGCCATCTATTGGCTGAGCTGCAACTAACCACACCCATCCAATCCCCCACTGCTATTGGCTGACCTGTATATAATAATATCACAGCTATTAACTGACCAGCATATCATCCTATCACAGCTACTGGCTGACCAGCATATCATCCTATTACTGCTATTAACTGACCTGTATATAATAATATCACAGCTACTTGCTGACCTGTATATAATAATATCACAGCTATTAACTGACCAGCATATAATAATATCACAGCTACTGGCTGACCAGCATATCATCCTATTACTGCTATTAACTGACCTGTATATAATAATATCACAGCTACTGGCTGACCTGTATATAATAATATCACTGCTATTAACTGACCTGTATATAATAACATCACAGCTACTGGCTGACCTGTATATAATATCACAGCTATTGGCTGACCTGTATATAATAATATCACAACTATTGGCTGACCTGTATATAATAATATCACAGCTATTGGCTGACCTGTATATAATAATATCACAGCTATTAACTGACCTGTATATAATAATATCACAGCTATTAACTGACCTGTATATAATAACATCACAGCTACTGGCTGACCTGTATATAATATCACAGCTATTGGCTGACCTGTATATAATTATATCACAGCTATTGGCTGACCTGTATATAATTATATCACAACTATTGGCTGACCTGTATATAATAATATCACAGCTATTGGCTGACCTGTATATAATTATATCACTGCTATTGGCTGACCTGTATATAATAATATCACAGCTATTAACTGACCTGTATATAATAATATCACAGCTATTGGCTAACCTGCATATAATAATATCACAGCTACTGGCTGACCTGTATATAATAACTCAGCTATTGGCTGACCTGTATATAATAATATCACAGCTATTAACTGACCTGTATATAATAATATCACAGCTACTGGCTGACCAGCATATCATCCTATTACTGCTATTAACTGACCTGTATATAATAATATCACAGCTACTGGCTGACCTGTATATAATAATATCACTGCTATTAACTGACCTGTATATAATAACATCACAGCTACTGGCTGACCTGTATATAATATCACAGCTATTGGCTGACCTGTATATAATAATATCACAACTATTGGCTGACCTGTATATAATAATATCACAGCTATTAACTGACCTGTATATAATAATATCACAGCTATTAACTGACCTGTATATAATAACATCACAGCTACTGGCTGACCTGTATATAATATCACAGCTATTGGCTGACCTGTATATAATTATATCACAGCTATTGGCTGACCTGTATATAATTATATCACAACTATTGGCTGACCTGTATATAATAATATCACAGCTATTGGCTGACCTGTATATAATTATATCACTGCTATTGGCTGACCTGTATATAATAATATCACAGCTATTAACTGACCTGTATATAATAATATCACAGCTATTGGCTAACCTGCATATAATAATATCACAGCTACTGGCTGACCTGTATATAATAACTCAGCTATTGGCTGACCTGTATATAATAATATCACAGCTATTAACTGACCTGTATATAATAATATCACAGCTATTGGCTAACCTGCATATAATAATATCACAGCTACTGGCTGACCTGTATATAATAATATCACTGCTATTAACTGACCTGCATGTAATAATATCACAGCTATTGGCTGACCTGTATATAATAATATCACAGCTACTGGCTGACCTGTATATAATAATATCACTGCTATTAACTGACGTGTATATAATAACATCACAGCTACTGGCTGACCTGTATATAATTATATCACAGCTATTGGCTGACCTGTATATAATTATATCACAACTATTGGCTGACCTGTATATAATAATATCACAGCTATTGGCTGACCTGTATATAATTATATCACTGCTATTGGCTGACCTGTATATAATAATATCACAGCTATTAACTGACCTGTATATAATAATATCACAGCTATTGGCTGACCTGTATATAATAATATCACAGCTATTAACTGACCTGTATATAATAATATCACAGCTATTGCTGACCTGTATATAATAATATCACAGCTATTGGCTGACCTGTATATAATAATATCACAGCTATTAACTGACCTGTATATAATAATATCACAGCTACTTGCTGACCTGTATATAATAATATCACAGCTATTAACTGACCAGCATATAATAATATCACAGCTACTGGCTGACCAGCATATCATCCTATTACTGCTATTAACTGACCTGTATATAATAATATCACAGCTACTGGCTGACCTGTATATAATAATATCACTGCTATTAACTGACCTGTATATAATATCACAGCTATTGGCTGACCTGTATATAATTATATCACAGCTATTGGCTGACCTGTATATAATTATATCACAACTATTGGCTGACCTGTATATAATAATATCACAGCTATTGGCTGACCTGTATATAATTATATCACTGCTATTGGCTGACCTGTATATAATAATATCACAGCTATTAACTGACCTGTATATAATAATATCACAGCTATTGGCTAACCTGCATATAATAATATCACAGCTACTGGCTGACCTGTATATAATAACTCAGCTATTGGCTGACCTGTATATAATAATATCACAGCTATTAACTGACCTGTATATAATAATATCACAGCTATTGGCTAACCTGCATATAATAATATCACAGCTACTGGCTGACCTGTATATAATAATATCACTGCTATTAACTGACCTGCATGTAATAATATCACAGCTATTGGCTGACCTGTATATAATAATATCACAGCTATTGGCTGACCTGTATATAATATCACTGCTATTGGCTGACCTGTATATAATTATATCACAACTATTGGCTGACCTGTATATAATATCACAGCTATTAACTGACCTGTATATAATAATATCACAGCTATTGGCTGACCTGTATATAATATCACAGCTATTGGCTGACCTGCATATAATAATATCACAGCTATTGGCTGACCTGTATATAATCACCTCGAGCTATTGACTGACCTTCATATAATAACCCCCAGCAATTGGCTGACTTGTATATAATAACCCCCAGCAATTGGCTGACCTGTATATAATAACCCCGCTATTGTCTGACCTGCATATAACCCCCAGCAATTGGCTGACCTGTATATAATCCCATTCAGCTATTGGCTGACCTTCTTTTAACCCCCTACAGCTAATGGCTGACCTGTATATGATTGATGATTTAATGACAAAATATCCATATTGAAAGAAAGAAAACTAAGCTAGACTTTTGGCCTAAATTCTGCCATTCTTGTGTCGATTCTCCATAACTCCCGTTTTATCAAATAAACTCTTAGAAGGCAGTTATTCTCTGTTAGCATACTCTCTGACTTCAACCAAATGCAATGTTATAAGGGAGAATATGGCTGCATAAATAGCTTGTGAGGGGCACGTACGGGGGTGTATATACACTTATGTCAGTACTGATGTGCTCAGAGTATAATGCAAACGTATGCCATGTAAGGTACTGACATCCTTCTCAGACCTGCACATGTATGTATAGGGCACTGTTGGTTGTGCATTCCAAATATGGCCACAAGCACAATTGTTGATGCTTACAATGCACTCTCTGAATTTTATATAGTGCACCAGCGACTCCAGATTGTTGGAAATGGGGCCCCAGATCAGGACTATACTATTCAATCAAGGATACAGGTATACCGTGTATAATTAACTTTGGTGCCCCTAACTTCTATGCCCCATAATCTGTGACACCCTATACCCCGCAGCTTGGTCATTTCAAGGCTTAAAGTTCTGGAGATAAGTTAGGTACTTTGGTGTGCATGCAGGAATATTTGACACACAGATTCCACAAGCTTTGATGAAATTTGGCATCTCTATTGAAGAGTAAAACTAGATTAGCCATTCACTAAAAGTGTGAAATGCCTGTACTCAAAGTGAATTCAGGTTTAAGACAAAAATATGGCAACTGGAAACAAGTAGCGTAAAATCTTCAGCCTTTTTGTGGGTTCCATTGTTTTTTTCCACTAGGCAAGAGATCACATTTAAAGTAAGTTTCTCCATATCCATTGAAACACCCTTCTCAGAGTAGCCCATATGACCACAGATCAACATTTGGCCAACTACTCCAAACCGTCGGTTCCTTGGGTTACAACAAAGATGCTTTCTCTCTCTCAAGGATATAGCTAGTCTCTGGGTCCATGTGGCCTCCAGTAAACCACATGCACTTTGACAATGCAATCTAGGCTAAAAAGAAAAAAAAGTCCTCAAGATACCTAGTTAGATCTGGGTATCATACTTTGCATATGATGATCATACCTGATTGGAATGCTATATGTGCCCATAGGCCTTGCTGTTAATTGCTGTATTATAAAGAATATTGGCATGACAAGTGGATATGTTTAGTATGCCTCACTGTGTAGCTTACCATATTTATTTTGCATACTGGATAAATTGGCCTGTCTGTAACTATAAAGCTGTGAAATAGTCGTACCCACATTTTAAAGCACATGAATATGTGTTTTCCAGCTTCTGATAGCACAGAGGCTGCAATTTTTATTCTTTCGAATAAGCCTTTTTAAATCATCACAATCTTTTCAAATTATTTTTCTACATATATGCCAAAGATCAATAGTGATTTATGTGGATAAATCATTTGAAAAGTGTTTGTTACAGATTGTGATCAATATAAACGCTTATCCAAAACAAAAATTAAGTCGAGGCCATTGTGTCTTGTGTACTTTGTCACCACTGTGTAGCACTATCCAATTGGTATACCATGGACTGCTTTAGACGATATTGTAAATGGCATTTTAATCCGGGATACAGAGATATAAATTAGTCGATATAGAGGTGTCTATTGTATTGGTTCTTATTTGGATAAGGTTTATATTTAGAATTACTAGAACAGGTACGCACCTGGATTATTTATACATACACCATTGACTTTAAATATAGAAGTTGGTATACGCTCAGCAGTTGCTGCGGGGGTTGGAGGAAAGCTATGGTTTCCAACTCAAAGGTTAGCATCTCTGCTGCTCTGGTGGCTTGTTCCCAATGAAGTCCTTGGCAAAGCAGTGAATAATGTCAAGATGCCATGGTGTCAAGTAGGAAGTTATAATATTACAGGTCATTCCTCTAAATTAGGGAAGCAACCGTTACAATCTAGCATCCAGTGAATCTGTAGTCCACTACCCATCTCTGACTCCCCTTCACCCATTTGGTTTGTTTTTCCTTCATTACACTAATCTAGCAATTCCTGTTGAAATTTACCCCGGATCTACTGATCCATTTTCAGTTGCTGATCCAGTCTGTTTTGGAATATATTACCCACCTGAAGCCTGTCATTATTATCTATTTGCAATTTTGGTCAATATGACTACAAGTTTCTGTCGTGCAGATAGGTCTTAACACATTTGATGGCTGGGTCAATCGATAAAATCCCAGCAACCACCATGGGTCCAACAGCCTAACCTGTGAGTGGAAGGTGGAAGTGTCTCGCCTACTGAGGTTTCCACAACAGCTCTGCCATTTTTGGACCCTACAGGCTAGCCCAACATCTTGAATGAATAACCCACCACAATGTGAAGACATTTGTATTTTGTGCTTTACTTCAAAAACATGGCTCTGCCACGGCAAACATTTTTCTTTCAACACTTAACAGTCCCTTGTAACTTGATGCTGCAGCACTTGATTGTGAAAGACGATACAGGCTGTGACGAAAGCAACTTTGCCACTGGTTTTTGGAAGGGACTACTTGCCAGCCTTTTACCCTGTGACTATGGGCCCTGCAATAGAACTGGTTAATATACTTCAAACAGGCTGTGTTCGTGCAATTGGGACTATATGGTTTGTTTAGCGAACAACCACACGAACAGAGACCACCCGGGACCTTGTTAACACCTATTAACAACTTGGAATGTTTCTCACCGCAGTGTTCTAATTGTTCGTCTGGGTGGCCGCGATTCCTATGAACAACCACGAGGCGGCAGCCATCTTGTTCGCATGAATGTAGGCAGCGGTGTTTGGGCATGAATCTCATGGACCTAAAAATCAGATACAGAAACTCCCGAACATCGCTGAACTTCCTTCATTGCCTGCGTTCGTTTCTAGTCAGCTTAGAAGGGCACTGTTCTGTGAGATCATTCGTCTAGATGAAGGGAACAAGCTCCAGGGTAAGACTATTGACTCTGTTCGGTAGTTTGTTCGTTTGCAAAATACCGAACTAGACCGGCCGCAAGCCCTGATTCTCTGGAACTGTTGTGGTTGGTCAAAAGAGACTTCCAGGATTCCTGAACCTCTGCTCTGATCTGGGTTATTTTGGGCTATTTTGTTCACCCAGGGCCATCTTTAACGCGGGGCAAACGGGGCAGCTTCCCCGGGCCCAGGTACTCTTGGGGGGCCCAAGGCAGCTGTCCCGTGGGCCCCGCTGCCCTAAACTATTCCCCCTTCCCTTGCTTGAGCCCACGGCACACTAAGGAGGCCCACCAGGTTCAAGTTAAGCTACGGCGGTTGTGGAGTCTGCGGTTGCTTGTGGAGTCCGGTGCAGTGCTTACGGTCCTCAGCGTCAGCTAGGAAGCATCTGTTGGCGGAAGTGCCCAGTTGGGGTGCCAGGTTATCCGTCACAGAGGCTTTGCAAGAAAGGATTTCAGAGAGCCTTCTAAGGATATCCGTGTACACAGCAGAATGTATTTTACGCAGCTACAGCATGAAGAAAAAAAAAAAAAGAAAAAAAAAAAGGGACAAGAATTACATGATATAATAATGGCATTTTTAAAGATGCTCGTCCAATATACGCTAGCAATAAATGGTAAAAACAGAAATCCCCTTACAAATCAGCAGTGATATCTGTTCTTGTATAAAAGGTGTGTACAAACACTATTCATTGGTAAAGGACGCTTCAAAATTTGACATAGTGGTGTAATTAATGGAAACATTATTTGCCAAGTGATGAAGACCATATTGTAGACAACGAAACTGAAGACTTTTACAAAGTCCTAAAATCCCAGCTTCTCTAGTGCAATATTCTAGTATGCAATGTTCATTTGACAAATTATATTGAAGCAGGTTTTATGTAACCAGTAACAGACTGCGTGGACCTCAAATCTTTAAATTAGATACGACCTCCCATTTCTAGTTTTAGGATAACCGGTAAAGACTACTCAAAATAATACTGTGTACTCTAGTATTTAGTACCTGCTGTGTTTTATCGACTTCACTCTCATTGTGGTCTGCAATAGTTCGAAATTCTCCGGTAACAATTATGACTGTACTAAGCTTTGTACTTCGAACGAACTTGAGCACCAGTGACAACAACACATGCTACTGTACAATAATAATTTTTAATTAAAACCACTATATCTAAATTTTACATAAACATACAGTACATATACACAATACAAACAAACACATAGAACATCAGTTTTTCCAACGTGCATTGTATTTATAGGCTCAGAGCAATGGGTTGACCTGCCCACCAGCATTCACACATTTACCACCAACCAGGTAGCAGGAAAAGGACAGTGACAATATGAATGTGTCATTTCTGTGTAAGCAATGCAGCTGATGCGAAGTCTGTGCATTGGGCCATTGAGGGCCCAAATTTTGTTCAAACTGCTTCGATATGATTTGACAAAAAAAACAGGACAGCATCCATAGATTCCAGGCAAAAATAACCACTACCCCAAATTGTACTTGTTAAGTATCTTAGATTTTGCTTTAAATATTATATTATATAGTTTTAAACAGATCAGTATATTTAGATAGAATAAACATTTGTTTCCTGGATCTGCATTAGAACATTACGTATCTTGCATGTATAAGGTGAGCTACTGCTGGTTTCTGGTAAACCATTTCCCATAATACTAAACCTACTCACCATAATTCCTGAGCATTCTCCAGTCCTCCTGCAGGGCGCGCTGTATCTCCTTTAAGGCGTTCACGCACTCTTTAGTAGGACATTTGTACGGCCCGTAGTGCATTGCTGTTGAACATCCCGCTAAGCTGCTGGAAATACCCACTGCCAGCTCTGGTTCAGTATCCTGTTTATTAGGAAATCACGATAATTAACTAAATACAGGAAAACTGATCTTTGGTGATACTAGTGATTACAACAAATTAGTCTAAGGGGAGTTTTCAATCAACATAAAAAGGAAATGTAACTTTAGATGCTCACACAAGTTACTGAAGATAGCAAAATATTTCTTAAGGTGTAAATGAGACAGCAAAGATTTCCAAACTCTGATTTTAACGGAACACTTCAAAACAAAAAAGCAAAGCTTGCTGGAGTGCATTAGGGGTCAAGGTGCCCCTTCTTTCTTACTTTACAAAAAGTGCCAGTTTCAAGACATTTTATAAAGCTCCTAAGTTGTAGATGGAAGGATGCTATTCCTGATTCCTTTGTGCTATAGAAGAAAACAGTGCTTCTCATAGAGAAGCATTGAATGCAATGGTTCTCTATTAGAAGCATTACTGCACATGTATGCTGCCTCCCATGTTTCCCTGTGATCTCCTGGAGGCGGAGCATCACTGCATTTAGGAGAGCCTCTCGGTGGGTTAGAGGCAAGTATTTTCTTCATTTTACAGGAACTGGAGGGAACAATGGCACAGCAGACAACAACACCCCATGTTAAGAAAATATATGTAATTATATGTTTTTAACACTTGAGTGTTTCTTTCAGCAAATTATTCTCTCATAAGTACAGTGGCCACAATACACTGTTGAAAAGATTACAGAAATTGTAGCTGGCTCAGGAACAAAGATTCGTGCAATTGGCATCTGCTTCAATAGCTCACCTGGGGGGGGGGGTTACAACACCGAAGCACACATTACTGAACACTGGGATGCTGGGTCATGGCAATCATTTTTTAATTTTAAGAATTTCTGCATTTCAATAAAGCAGATATATTTTTTTAGTTGTCACGTTGTCCTGTATGGTTCTATCTGTGACCAGATTTTAAATGGACGCCCATTTATACCAAAGAAAACACTTAAAGGTTGCCCAAGGATTATTGAAAAAGACTGCATACCAATATAATTATTTATAAAATATTTACCAAGACGGATACACTAAGATTTATATAAATATATATAAGGTAGATAGTAGGACACAGGTAGACTATTGTAGGGAGAGGGATTACTGTGTTTTTATTGTTTTTCACAAATACTGATAAGAACTTTCTAAGAAAAGAATAACTCTTGACAAGTCCTTACAGGGAGCATTCGCTTAATGTGCCAGTTTCTTACCGGGATTATAGCAAGAATGCATCCTTCAGCCAAAACTTGCAGCATGTTTGAAAGCAGCAATATATCTCTATTGCCAACGCTCCTGTTACTTCCTGCACTCAGTAGAATAAAGTCAGGCTGGTAGCTGTAAGCCAAAGGAAGTAGAATTTGCAAAACCAAATAAAAGAAGCTGCTACTTTCATCAGGAGTCTAAAAAGCAATAAACAGAGAAAAAGGTTTAGTGGAATTGTGGAAAGTATGGCAGTCACCTACCCTGACCAAATGCTACAGCAACTTCTTAATGGCCCACTCAAAAAGCATGATAAAAAGCTCTGCTTTGAAGACTTTCCAGATTGTGTGAACATACAAGTATACTTATAATTATTAACTGAATTACTAGAAAAAAAAAATAAAAAAAAAATTATATATATATAGATCAAGCTATATTTTTGCATGAAATTCACCAGCATCACTCCATATGTAATATCCAACCATATGGTCCTTTTCTCTACACAACTTACGTCTTTCCATTTTAGAGAAACGTGATATTTTGAAAACACTTTGGACGGTTGGTCTCCACAAATTTTAACAAACAGTGTTTTCCTGCAAAAGAAACACATATCAGAGATGTTTTAACAACTAAATACATGCACTACCATTTATGAAAAAAGTAACTAAAGTAAAGTACTTACTGATCATTTTCAAAATCACGTTCTGAATCCAAGTCCCCAACATGAACATAGAGCACCCTGCAAGCACAAAGCCATTCATGTAATCCGAAGTTTCTGCAGATTTATATATAGCAGAAAATCGCAGTCACTAAAAGTATGACCACACTGAGCCGCAACCACTCCCTCATGCACTTGTGATCACCATTAGCAGGAATAGCAAGTCATTCTGTTTCACATAAAAGGGAAGATATAGAAACATCAACCATTCTATCAATTACAAATAGATGCTACATAATATACAGTATGAATTGCAAGGAATTCAAAGTGAATTTAAACATATCGAACCTGAAAACATAACCGTTTTCTAGTCCAAGGTGCCATGCTGTGTGTGGAGGAAGTTTTCAATATAGTTTCATAGTTAGCTTACAGCAGAGGAAATGGTTTCTTTAAAGTAAGAACAATAACAATGCAGAATTCTCTCATATTGTTTTATTAGATAAGCATTAAAAAAAAAAAAAAATATAAAGACTTGGACGTCTTTTTTTAGTTTTTTTTTTTAAATAGAATATTAAAGGCTATAATTAATATGTATGTGAACAGGTTGCTGATCCAAGAAGAAATCTGGTTACCATTAAGGAGTGAAAAAATCCCCCCCCCCCCATTTTGGATCAACAGCAAAAAGAGATGTATTTTAAAGGCTTAAAGGGATTCTATAGCGTTAGGAATACAAAGCTGAATTCATAACACTATAGTCCCCTCCTCCCCAACTCCCTTGCAGTACATAAAGGGGTTAAAAACAACAAAACACTTTATTTACTTACCTGATTGGTGACCTGCTTCCTCCAACGTCATCCAATGGAGGGGACCTTATGCGCATCGAACACAACAAGCTTATTAGGCCCTCCTGATAGGAAAGCATTGAATCAATTATTTCCTATGAGGATTTTAAAGACGCTGGATATTCTAATGCAGCATGTGAGGACATCCAGCATCAGTTAGGCGACCCAGAGTCCGGTAAACTCACAGAAGCGCCTCTAGTGACTGTCTTAGCAGTTTCTCATAAACGAACATTGTACCCACACAACTTAAATGAGCTGAAGTGGTCTGGGTGTCTGTTGTGTCCCTTTAACTTGATGGACTATTTTTGTTCATCCTAGATTACTATGGAACTATGTAGTTAGAGCCTAGGGTATGTGCTATTTTAAAAGCACAGTATGGAATGCAAAGGTGTGTTTGTTGGGATACTGTTGCAATGCCCCCTCATTTTATGTTGCCTTACTCTGTAGCCAATCATTTTCAATACAACACAAATGAAGAAAAAATAACTTTATTAGTATATCACACCGTGTGCCTTCTAAAAGTATATACGTACCTCTCAATACCCAAATTCAAAGAAGTCTGCAGAGCCACAGCTGCCGATAGTGACGTACTTGGTGATAAAACCACAGCATTCTTTGTCTGTGGGAGTAAAAACAATTGGCATCTACTGTGAATCATGCTTATTATAGTAACAATATAAAAATGAGCATTTACTTCATAGCGGATGCATAATGGTGAAGTAATTATTAGGAAGAGAATGCAACTGGGTTCTGAGACATCATAGGAACTCAAAATCCTAATGTCTCCAGAGACCTCGAGAAGACGTTTTTCCATTATACATGCTTTAGTTTTCAGTATCTTTAATCTCAGGACGGTTTAAAAAAATTATGGTTAGGGCTAAACTTAGGGCAGCAGTGGGACATGCGTATCCATGGTCTTCCTGAAACTGTACGTGTACGTTATATCCCTAAGCAGCAGTCTTATTCAGCTCCTAGTAATATGTCAGGAGAGGAGCTGGGGAAAGACAACTGCACTCTCTACCTTACGTTATCAAAGCTGTGCATTATTGTTTATAATGCACAGAGTGACATCACCCCTGTACAGTATGGGATTTGTTTAAATAAGAAACTATAAAAATGGCAGAAATTCTATCTTTGGAGCTGTGCGCCTTACCTGCTTTTTCACCAGTTTGTTGATGACTGTTAACATTTTGCCCACAGAATGTACTAGATGCCCTTCTTTTAAGTGTGACATACTAATTCCACTGCAGAGACAAACCAAAAAAATTGTAATATTAATGTAGATCAAGTCAAGTGGAACAGTTAAATAAAGCTATCTAACTAGGATATATAGATACACACAACTTTTCAATTTAAAACCTAATGCAAATACACACACCTTTTCATGTTAAAGCCTAGTGTGTTTGTATATTTAATTTTTATTACAGCATTTCAGGTAGATATAGCAGTCAAATATGCATGTATAAGATACACGTAGACTGATCAGTGGTATACATCTTTAGCGCACACAGTTAGCATATCTCACGTCGCGCAGGAGCGTGAGTCCAAAATACAGATTGGCGAAAATCGCCTTAGTTGCAGGAGTGAGACAGTACCTCACCGAAACGTAGGTTTATCACAAGTTACCCTCCTGAGCTGTATGGGTGGGGGGCGGAGATGCAGGTTGTGGTCTCGGTATTCAGTGTTTCTTACGAACCTTGGAGATTGTGGGTAACACCAGTCCACGGGAGCTTTGTTTCGGAGTGAGCTACCTTAGGTTCTCTGAGTTAAAGGTATAGGGGGGAATCAGACTAAAACTGGGCTGGGAGGGGGGAGGGGATAAAAATAATTTAAAAAAACACAGATATACCTGCAGGCCGCATCAATTTGTTCCCTTGGAGCAGCCTGGTCCTCAACATGCACGCCAGCAGGTATAATAAATGTGTTCCCATCAGGGGTTACAGCAGAGGTTCGGAAAGGAGGTGCAGGGGACAGGATGTTTTTCATGTGAGACTCAATCAATCTGTCAAACCTGGCTGTATCAGCGCTTTCTTGCTGTTCGTATGGAAGCTCTAGAGTGGAACTGCCTTTAGTACTGCATTGTTGCACCAGCTTGGTTTCTTTAAATAAAATGACATGAAAATATTATATAATTATATTCTATATTAATAAATGTGAGTGAAGGAAAGAGCAAATTGAAAATCATAATTATGTAAATATGCCTTTTCATATTTTGTACTTCGATGGTTATGTTTGTAAACATCACATCATTATTTTAAGAGAATGTAGTAAATAATTTAATAGAGAGTTGTTTTTGTTTTGTTTTTTATAAAAGCTAGCAGTATGTAAAGATGTTTGTGAACTTCCATTTACAAGATATGTGTGTGTGTGTACCATGACATGTACAATTCTGAAAAGCCATAACTTATAAATCATAATGTAAGATACTTAGATCCTAAGTAGACAATATCTGAGAACCTAATTGTGGCCAATGGCTGTTTCACATCCGACGTAAACAAGTTATAATATAATTAACAAATACAAGAGACATCATGCTTTAGTGTACAGATGTCTTGGAGAATTTTTGCTTTTTTATGGGGAGTTTTCAGTTAAAGCAAGATCACTCCGAAATTTTTAGAACAAGTAGTAAATTATTTCAACAATGTTTGAGATAGGCTACGGTTATCTGTACACTAAAAAAATTAATTAAGGAAATAAATAACATTGCAAATGAAAACACAGAATATAAATGTTCAAAACACGATTATCAAATACGAAAACATTTTACAAATACCATACATTTGTCAGCTTACATCACTATACTACTCCACACTGATCCAATACACTCCCAAATAAAGGGGAAAATAAAATAATTACCATCCACGGATAGGCACTGCCAGTAAGGAGTGTGTGCGGTGCGTACATTCTGTATTGATTCTAAAGCACTAAAAAAAAGAGGTAGTGAAAATGTATTAATGAAACGCTTGTTTCCTTGTAAAGGCATCATTTACCTTAGGAATGGGTCAGCTGTTGCCACCGTAGGAGCTGAAAAATAGAGCATTTTCCCCATATAAAAGAGGATACTGCTATGCCATAACTAAGGGTGAGTGAGCAACTGACCCGCCCCCTGAATCAACGGTAAGAATCGAGGGATGTACTTCATGGCATTTAGGCGGGGGACATCTGCTCACTACATGGTGGTGCACAAAGATCCCCATTCTCATGAGACAGGCACCTACCTACCGGAATGCATTTTCAAACATTGACAATGAAGTATACAACTAGTAAGAGCTATTAATAAACAATTTAAAGAGAAAAAAAAGCATATCTATGTCTTGGCACTCTGTCAGGAATCACAATGTTATATTAAACACTTCTTAAGGAAATTATATAGATTTCAATGTGTACCTGTGACACGGTGTCATGTCCCCCGATAGCCTGGGCACTGCGTCTCCAAGTAACGTCCTTACAGTCATGCAGACAGATTCAGACAATGACGTCAGATGGTATCCACCCTGAATGGACATATTAGATCTCATGAAACATTGTATAATGCAAACATTTAATAGAAAAATAAACTCTGTGGGGTTCATTTACTGAACCAGGCAATACAGGGAATTAACAAGGGAAATTTAAATTCTACAATTAAAGCTGGACTGGATAAATAACTTAGCGCAGGTATGTTTTCCGCTCAAACATTCTAGTGTCAATTCTCTGCACTTTCCAGCTTAGTGAATCAGCTCCCTGTGTATTACAGAAAATAAGCCAATAATAGACATGAAGAAGACACAATTACAAGGACTTGTTTTAATATTGCTGGATAAGCTTTTCAAAGGATGAAATATTTATATAGAGATTTTTGTTATAATATTTTGAAGCATAGTTTCCACAGGAAGGGGTTGGTAACTGTTTACTAAACTGGATGATTAAGGAAAGCAAACCCCTATCACTCTCTGCATGGCAGTCAGGGTGCATGTCTGGACAGAATACTCTGAGTAGCTGGAGCATTCTGTGTGTCCTAATCTATTCTCTGAGAATACAGCCCTGGTCCAATAAAACAGACTACAACAGAAAAAAATAAACACACTAGTATGGAGTACTCGTATTATTAAAAGCAAAAAGGGCACAGAAACCAAGAGCTCTCCAAATATCTCCGTGAGCATTACCACAATGACACTAATCCTAACAAGTATACAATATTCTTCTCCCTGGGTTATGCAAGACATTTCCACAGAAATTGCTATTCATAACAGTTTTTACAGAGTTAATCTACAGCCTTTCATGTTATTCATTTTACATAGTTTATTGAAAAATGGACTGGAGCTCATTATTTACAGATACTGTAATGTTTTAGATGAAACACACACACACCCATCAAACACTATGTACAATTACAAAACACCTACATCAACAAATATTCTAATGATCCTTTTGCATATCAATACACAGAGATGCAAAGGACAGTTGGCTTTACCTCGAGAACAACACATAGTTTCCCACCAGCAAGGTTTGTGAGCAGATGGGTGAGATGACTGAAGCATTCTGGGGTGGCGTTCATACGGCCCTGCAAATAAAGAAGGATGCAGTTACTATACACAGATTAATTCAGCATTCCGTCTTACTGTTACATCTTGTGTTTGAGACCCATCATTGAAACACATTATTATTAATATAGCTCCATCAGACTCCGTAGCGCTGTACAGTGGGTGGACTAACAGACATGTAATTGTAACCAGACAACTGGACGTACAGGAACAGAGGGGGGGAGGGCCCTGCTCCATGAGCTTACATTCTAGAGGATGTAAACCTCATTACAAAATACTTGATCACATGCATCATAATCTAGAGTGAAACAAATCTCATTAAACCACCCACCTCTGGATCACCAATTCCAGAATCATATCCAGAAGACACCAGAACCAACTCAGGATCAAACTGTGAGAAATAAGAGAAGATTTGTTTTAGAATATATATATACACAGTCTGCTCTACCCCTAAAAGAAAAATGCAAAAATATAACAACCACCACTAAAATATTAGACAGGAAGATTTTGTTTTATGTATCACATTCTATTACTCTTTTTGAGCAACAGGTTTGCTACACCACCTCCACTAGATGCCCACCCTGGCCACTGGCAACGCTGGAGACAGAATCACTGGCGTAATCCCACTGGGATGACCAACTACGTAAAACTGCTCTATAATGCTCACACATTCCCTGGGTGGGGAGCCTCTCTTCTTTCTGCATGGAAGATTAGTGTCATTTCCTGATCTGGTGAGATGAACTTACGCTTCACAATTTCCCAGATAGTTAGCGATACATCCTGCCATACAAACTTCCTCCCGTTGAATACGTTTTCATTGCTTTCATCATAAAAATGTGTAAATGCCTGAATTCTGGAATTATATGGTGTATCTGTTCTCCTGGATCATTTTGGCTACTTATCTCTTCTCATCTCTACTCCCTCGCGGTCTTTTGTCCTTTCCCATTCATTGCATCTCTTTTCCCTTGGCTCTGTCTACCAGCATGAATGTGATCTTCATGAATCTCACGCATACTTTGGGTGGGTTACTTAGCCCTACTTACCAGAATGGTGTCAGCTCATCAAAGCAGAAGCTGACAAGATGATGAATTATCCTCAGCCTAGTGTAATTCTATTACATGAAGACGATCCTTATGCCAATACTTTGTGACCTAATTATCATATCCCTAAATAGACATGTAAGCTCCACTTGTAAAACTTTATACAGATGTTTTTTGTTCTACCTTTTATCAACATTAACATGGATAAAGAAAAAAAAAACCACAAAAACACACAAACCCCCTCACTCCCCCCCCCCAAAAACAACAATTGACTTGGAAATTACAAACAAAAAAGTTCTTAAATTTAAAAGGGATTTCTCTCTTATCTGGTCACTTTCCAATGTATCTATGTGCAAATAAACTGAAATGAAGAGAGTAAAACATGCAATTCAAAGGTTAATAAAGCAATTACCTCGAAGGCCAAAGGCAGGAGCACATGTAGAAAGGCTGCAATGTAATCCGCGTTACCAATGCCGATCTGATAATAAATTAAATCAATAGAGGATGGTCTGTTTAGTTTCTTGCAGAGAATAATGTAAATTGTAGTTACAGGATGAATGAGCTTAGACTTAACACCCCCTCCATATTCACTGATCATTCACAACACGAAAACCACTAAAAGCTGAAGTGAAGGAAATCCCCACCGGACCACCAGGGATTACAGGAAATGTCTCCCCACCCATAAAATATATATATATATATATATATATATATATATATATATATATATATATTAAAAAAAAATAATATAGTATATATTAATTGCCCTCCTACCCCCACAGACCCCACACCACACAATAGCTCCCCCATACACACACACCACCCTCCTACACACTGCACCCGTCACACAACCTGCCATCTTCACACACACACACTTTACTCCTCATGCACACAATGCACCACTGTATACACACACACACACACACACACGCACACTGCAACCCTCACACACAAACTCCCAATATTAGGGGCCCAGTATATGCCGCAGCGCTGTACATATATACAACCTAGAACATTTTTTGACTTGGGGTGCCTTGGAAAAATATTGAAATATTAAGGGCGCCTTGAACCTAAAAAGTTTTTTATTTTTATGACGTAGTTATCATAGTCTAACTGAAAGTCAATATGGACATCATTTGACATGTATACGACTATGATAACATATAGTGTGTGTATTTAGTCCAATTATTTCCATATTTCAGCAATGATGAAGTATCTGACATTTGACAGGGGAATGAGGGAATTTACTCAAATAACATTAACGACTGTCACCTTGTTCCACGGGAGATTTATATTAAAGCCAGTTCCTTGCCCTTTTCCGACACAGTCATAGTCTGATTCGGTGAGATTTGGCCAAAATATTTTGTGTTCATAACGATGCCAAGAAAAGTAAAGAACGCTGAAAGGAAAGGGCATACAAATTATATTTTAATTTCTAAAGCACTTATTTATACAGACACTCAAAACACTATGTAGTCATTTTTTCAACATAAATACCAATAGAAGTATCTGGCATTTTAAGGATGAGTTAGATGTGGTATATTACAATGCAGTCAGGTAAAACCCATTGTCTCCATTGTAATATACCAGATCTAACTCATCCTTGGCGCACCCTTCCTTTCTTTATTCATTTTTAAATGTCCTCTTCAATTATACTATCTTCTTTAAAGAAAATAAAGATTTCATGAATTAAAAGCACAATACAAACCTGGGATCATCCTCAAAGATATACTGAATTCCTTGTCCATGGTGTACGTCCCAATCAACAATCAGGATTCTAAATAAAAAGAGGACCGTTAAAAGCTTATGTTTGGTGGTAGTGAAGCTTCATTCGGGCATAACGTTCTCTCATTGAACAGGATTATATAGTTATGTAAAAAACTACAAAATCTATTTCAAAATGGCCAATTACGAAAAATCTTGAAGCACTTCTATTGCCAAGGTTTCAGCATCAACTAAGCCACATGAGAATTAACCGACCAGCATGAATTTGCTATTTTTAATACAAATTATGGAGACGATGCATTAAAACATTAATAAAGATAAGATCTGTCTTTTTTGCAGCAAATCATTTTCTGTCTCAGATCTCTTGAACAGGGAAAGTGCCAAATTTTCTCTGCTCATCATCCGTCTATAGGTCTCTATGGGACAACTGTACATGCCCCATTAACCTGTTGTTGTTCACTTTTATGAGTGGTTCATCCTCCTGATCAGATCATACAGACACACTTATAATTTTCTACTATAAAAGATGTAATCAATGTATACTGGAAGGTCAAACCAAAAGTGAGGGTTAAAGAATGTCCACACACATAGGATAGAGACCAATGAAAGTATATGAAAGATACTACACATAACAATAACAATGGCAAAATCAAACAGGCCAACTGCATACCTACCTCTGCAAATTGTACTTTTTTTGAGCGTATTTTGCAGCAATTGCAACATTATTAAAAACACAGAATCCATTACTTTGATCGCGTTGACTGTGATGCCCTGGAGGTCTGAAAGATAAATTGATAAATATGGCCAAAGATCAGCATTAATGGCAGAGTGTGAGTTTGAACATAAAAGCAGCAAGAAAACCTTTGTTAAGTTGTAAAGTCGAAGGTGCAAACATTACTCAACACAGATAACAATATCACAAAACCAAAGACGCCTTCCATTTCCAATTACTCTGTAAACTCTATGTTGACAGAGAGACAGACGGAGAGGCTGCTGCAATGTCCCTCTGTTATAAATGTATAGCTACAGAACTTACTGTACAATTCATCCTATTCAACCTGTTATTTGTTACGTACCTGCTATGTAACTACACACATACTGCACTCACTGTATCTCCCTCTACTGTAATGCACCCAGTAAAGTGCTGCGTACACCTGTTAGCGCTATATAAATAAAATATACGGCTGCTTGTAAATTAATTGTCGTCATTTAGAAATGAACAACATATTCTGCAGAATAATGAATAATGAGTTAAAGGGGAGCTATTATTACTTTTGCTGTGAGGTTGGTTATCTTTAAAATATATCAACATATGCTACTGCTTAGAGAAGAACATTAATATCTTATTGAGCATGATGCCATCAAGACAGGCATCACATTTATAAAACCATTATATATTTTTTAAACTTAATGAAACACTGCTGTTCAAACTGAGATGTAGCTAGTCATTCCTATTTACCTTACAAGAGCCATTCCGTTCTGCACCTCCCCAGACAGAACTGCATCCACCAGCTGCAAGGTGCCACCAAGGGACAGCTTGGCACAGCGATAGGAATTCTGGCAAATAAATACAGATTTAACTCAAACATTCAGATTTGCTATGAGGCACTGCCGAAAATGCATTGTTTCAAAATTATCTCTGGATCTCCATTGAGATCACTAGCAAACCTGAATTAAAGAACCAATTCTAATATAGAATTTCACATGACAAGGGTTATCGTGGTAGCAGTGTTATGTGCTTATATGTTCTCTGGTAAATAGTCTCTGCCTTGTTTAATCTATACATGCAATACAGCAAATGCTCAACAGGTGGCACTGCAGGGATATATAGAATAATTTTTTTGTAAAAGTTCAGGGTAAGTACTGCCAATTCATAGGTAGTTGAGGGACTTAATGCTAAAACATGAAGAGCAGCAGTTCACTTTAAAGTGGTTTGGTCGAAATTACTTTTTCTATTTAATTGATAATTGTCACCGTATGAAATTCCCTCACAACCACCTCCACAGAGGTAAAATGACAGATTGTCAAGTGGTAATTACCGCCAGCCTTACTAAATATAGCAGGTTAGGTGAAAATATATATTTGTGGGCAGTACGGTTTTAAACTGATTAACTTAAAGAGAAAACTGAACTGGACACGTCCATATCCATGAACTCTAAATACAGATGATACGTTTCAGATTACCTGGTGAAAATAAGCAGCAACGTACTTCTTCGACGTTGTCCTAAGTTCTTCTTCATTCATGGTCTGAGTGCTCTTAACAACATCCAGATAATCAGGGCTGGGAGAGGAAGGGGAGGTGTGATTACACCAAAGTAAGATACTTTAACCTACTATGCTTAACAAACAGTGTTTTTATTACATTAAAACAATGTGAAATATGTATAAAGAAGAATGCCACATGAAAATGAAAACTTTTTGATTTATTTCTAGAACTCGAAAAAAAAAGCACAGTTCAATGATCCCCATTGGAATAGAACCGGGTGATTCCTTAAACTGGACTGTTAATGGTGTGTAAGGTGCTTCACAACACGGGTGTACTACAACAGATCTAACCAGATAGCATTGATTAAAGGAGCACTATAGGGTCAGGAACACAAACATGTATTCCTGACCCTATAGGGTTAAAACCACCATCTAGCCACCCTGGGCCCCTCACGCCTCCATAAATATAGCTAAATCTTACTGTATTCAAGCCAGAAGCTGTAACTCTGCATGCTGTTTGCCTCAGAAAAACAAGCTGTCTGCTGACATCATCAAAAGTGGTAGCCTGATCCAATCACAATGCTTCCCCATAGGATTGGCTGAGACTGACAAGGAGGCAGATCAGGGGCAGAGCCAGCACAGTTCAAACACAGCCCTGGCCAATCAGCATCTCCTCATAGAGATGAATTGAATCAATGGATCTCTATGAGGAAAGTTCAGTGTCTGCATGCAGAGGGAGGAGATACTGAATGTTTGGATGCATTTTAGGCAGCCATGACCCAGGAAGGATCTCTAACAGCCATCCAATGAGTGACCAGTGAAGTTATCACTAGGCTGTAATGTAAAGACTGCATTTTCTCTGAAAAGACCGTGTTTACAGCAAAAAGCCTGAAGGTAATGATTCTACTCACCAGAACAAATTCAATAAGCTGTAGTTGTTCTGGTGACTATAGTGTCCCTTTAAAGCAAAGAGGGGGTTAATGCAAGCAATGAGGCAGATGAGGAACTGAAAATTGCAAATTTCAGGCCAAGATAGCTATGCAAGAGAAATAGCCTAGTTTGCTAGTTTTTCATCTAGGTGTAAATAAAATAATTTTCTTGTCAATTCTCAGTGAATTAAGCTATTTTTTGTATTCACAAAAATACTGTGTCAACAAGGTTGTTTTAGAAGCTGGATGCCTGCAGAGAAATCAAACGTAAGCGTTTGAGAAATGGAAACAACAGGCAGGAACATACATAATGAATTGACAAAATATGCAAAAAGAGAAAAAATAAAAATAAAAACATTAACCTCTCATTCTGGTCTATGGGTTCTGTTTTTGTTTTAAACTCAAACCTGTGTTCCAACAAGAGTTCATTTAGTTTATCCTCCAGTCCCAATTCCATAACAAGTACGAGAGGAACTACTTATTAGCTTCATTATCTTCATCTATATATCGCCAACATACTCTGTAGCGCTTTACTATTATAGAATGGGGATATCTGACAACGAGTAACTGGCATACAAAATATTAAAAGCAACAAGAAGCGAAGAAGGCCCTGCTCAAAATGAGTTTACAATCTACGAGGAAGAAGTAAATACACAGAGGAGGAAGAACAGCATGTCAGAGGGAAGGGGAGTTTGACGGATAAAATGCCCGTGTTGAAATAAGCTAATAAATATTCTGTATGGAAGATCTGAAGAGTGGGAGGGTGAAGAGAGAGCTGGGTTACAGAAGCAAAGGAAACGAGGAGGGCAACTATAATGAATGAAGAATCCCCCAGGAATGTCAGGCTTTCCCAAAGTCATGGTTTTTCAGTGACGTTTTACAAGGCATTAATAAGGCTTAGTAAGCCAAGAGCAGTCATACAGTGCATGCCATCAGCCTATTCTAAGCACAGGTCACAGTTTTATGAACATGTCTGCATGCAGCAATCTGCCAGAATAACAGCACACCCCATTTCAGAGAGGTTGGGAAAGATGGCAAAAAGTGACAAGAGGTTTATGAATTTTCTGACGTATCTATATTACAGCTGTGCAGAGCTTTAACAGCACGTTCATTCACTTTAGCCACTAGCTATGATCAAAAACATGTCAGAAAAAATTACTCCTTAAAATAATGAAGCAACAGAAATACCTACCAGCAAAGACTTTACATTTAAACTTACAGTTTAAAAATTAGATCTCTCTTACTTCAAACAGGCAGTAAAATAGATTTATAAGTAGAATTAAAATTCTGGAGGATGACAGTAATTCATTAAACGAGAGACAAATTCTTTGGCAATGATCCATGATTAATGAATTGATGTTAATTTATGTTGCATATAAATTCGACATATTGCCCTTTTCAAAAAAATTGTCACTTCTCTCATAGTGACGCTTCTCTGTTTCCTCACCACAGTAAATGTTATTGAATTATTTACTGGGATGAAAAGGTAAAATTTAAACACTTATGTGTGCTTCACTCCCTCGTTTGGGGCAACTAGAAAACTAGTGAGGTTTTTAAATAAAAAGATAGCACAATCCGCAACAAACTTTTAGTTAGCTATTCATTTGGGCAATATTCTCATAAGTGACCGTTCTTAGTTGTCCTTCTTTGTCTAAGATCATCAGAATAGGGCTCATACCTATGCACCAAGGTAATCTCTTCCTCTGAAGCCTCTCGGACAGGTAACCGGACACATCTCTCCACGAGGTGATAATGCTGCAACCGCTCATAAGATTTAGATAACCGCTCAGGGACTTCGATGGCACACTCTGGGCTTGGAACAAAATGAAAAACAGATTTAAAAAAAAAAAAAAAAAGTAAAAATGCATCTTTTAAAACTAAATTTTTTTTTTAAATTTGGAGAGTATTACGATTCAATGGACCATGTTACAAAAACAATAGTTATTAACTAAAGTAAGAATTCAAATAAAATGTAAGGTGAAACTAGTCAAACTTGATAAAAATGATCTAAGTCAGCTGTGCTTTCAGTTCTCGGCCTTAAATTTAAAATTCACCTTGAATGCACTATAGCAAATAATCACGTAAGTCAGTTTTGATTCAAGTTTTACTAATTTGGCCCTACATTTTTAAATTCACTTGTAATTCTCCCTTTAGTAAATAACCCTGCATATAACTATTCATTAAACCAGGAATAGTGAAAAATTGACCAGTTAAATTCAGCTATTTTGGACATGCATTTATCTACCTTGACAATTTTCCACTGTATCGACTGATCAAATGGATTCATGCAGCGTTTTTCACTAAGGTTGGAATTTGTGAAGATCAGCAAACTTTTTGCCAAAATACCTGCTCTCAAAAGATTACCGTATGTATTTGAGGAATTTTTTCAGTGTGACAACTTTGGCCTAAAAGATTCAGCTCCATTTTACAAAAAGATTTGCTATCAATAGAGTATATCTGAGAGAGGTTTTATAAAGACACATAATATGACTTGAGCCTTGTGTGTTACACAAAAATAACTTGGAAAACTTATAACAGGGCATCAATACACGTATACTTGGTAGTTTACCATAACTACATCATTCATAATCAAATTTCCCAAACATGTTTGTTAAAGTGACACTATGCAGATATATACATAAGAAAAGACTTATTTCAACCTTAACATATACATATTTATTACACACCCAGACCACTTCTTCTCATTGAAGTGGTCTGGGTGTAGTGCCCCTGACTGTATAACCCTGCAATGTAAAACATTGCAGTTTCCAGACAGTCACTACAGGTGCTTCCTGCTCCCTAACAGAGTTTTACTCCACCATCCGACATTGAACGTCCTCATGCTTTGCATAAGGATGTCTAACGTCTTCAAATTCCCTAAAAGAAAGCATTGATTCAATGCTTTCCTATGGTGAAGGTATAATGAGCATGTGGCAAGCTCTGTGAATGGGCATTAGTTCAGACCAGCACTGTGACGATGTGGTAGGAGGAAAACTAGTTAGTGCCAAAGGAGCCTCGGTGTCGAAATTAAGATAAGTTAAAAAAAAATAAAATATATATAAAAAAAAAAGAAGGTGGGTGGGGTTTTTGACTCTTAACAGGCCAGAGGGCGTGGACGGTGGGGGTAAAATCAAATAAGTTACGGATTGGACACTATAGCGTTAGGAATAAATGTTCGTATTCCTAAAACTATAGTGTTAGGGGATTGGTGAATATAAAAAATCCTGAGAAATGGCAGTTCCCCTTTAAAACCACACATGGGACATGTGCAACACCACATATACTTCATTGTAAGAGCAAGAGATTAATTATGTATCAGGTCTTAAATAGCACTTTACAGAACTTTAACAATTAATAATCAGTATGCTTACAGTAAGAGAGAAATAAAAATAGACATGCAAGCGCAAAATGAGTTCCAAATCCAGGTGGTTTTAAGAGTTGTGGCACAATTATACAAAGTGATATGTAGCTCTTGTCCATTACCTTACAATCTATCGGGAAAATAACCAAGGACACAAAATGTAACAGGGAAAAGAAAGAGCGTGATGGGAGCCATAGAAACAGCTATTTCATATGAAGTCATATGAAGAGTGAGATGTATGGTCTATTAATTAAAGTGATGCAAAGGTGGGTAGGAAAATTGTACAGGATGTTTCCCTGTGTAGGGGACAGAGTTTGTGTTGCACCTGGACAGAGAGGGAATGCATATTTTTTTTGGAAACACTCTTTAAAAATACCTTTATTTATAACGTTTAAATAATGATTAGGAGTATTGTGCATCTCACCTGATTCCTCCCCACCCCCCAAACACACACACAAAATAAAAACACATTACTTACCTCTAAACCAGAAGTAAGACAGCATCTTGCCACTGCTCCCCTCTGTGCCCGGGAGATGATAGCTGAAGATGATCTCCAAGCCTATCCAATAGTTCTCATAGAAGAAGCATTGGAAGGAGGGTGCATGCGCGTCAATGCTTATCATAGAGAAACACTGTAACCAATGCTTCTCTAAGAGAAGTCTTCATTTCCACCATGAGTTAGTATTCAAGGAGAGTGAGTCAAGGCACTTTCTCCGCTGTATGAATGACAGCTGGGAGGGTGCAACCAAAAAGTTTTATAAAAGTTCCAATTCCTCTTTTACACACAAAAAAAGAACCAATCTGGTTTGGTTTGGGGTGTTTCTTAAAGGTCTGGAATTTGCCTGAAAACAGTAACTACTTAGGGTTTTAATTTTACATACTGTGAGAGAAAATGTGGAATGGTTGTCGGTGGAAGATATATTAGGCCTGCTTTACTAAACAGCAGCCTGAGGTTTCTCAATTAAAATGTCCCAGGGAGAGATGTTAGGCAAGATACATTGTTGGTACTCTGAAAACCATTGTAAGGGTTCCCGGAGCAGAGCATTTGGAGAGCAGAGTGGGCCAGTGCTCCAATAGCACGATTTGCTATGTAACAGCCAGACCAGGACTTGTGTATACCTTAGACGTTCCAGAGATGTGAACTAACTGACAATCACCTGTAGCTGGTCAATTGGCAGGCAGGCTTTTAAAAGAAGGGATCAGCCTGCTGCAGAGTGAGGGAGAAAGAGCCAGAGGAATGGTGGGGCTTGCATCCATATTTTGTTATTGTAAGTGGGAAAGCCACCCAATTCCAGATAGTAATTAGTCTGTTTAGTAAGTGCTCAAACAAGAGCATGGAATTTTGTTTTGTTTATATTATTTTGAAGCACCTGTATATTTTGCACCAAATAAATAAAACTGAGCTGGATGTGTCCTGGACTTTGATTTCCCCTAGAAGACTGTGATTACCATAAGATCTGTGACAAAATCCTACCGGTAAAAGAGGTGGTTTGTTACAATACATATATTTAAGTATGACTGTATTATGAACATTAAGTCATGGTCAAATCCAACTTGAAAAAGTACGATTTAATTTTCTTTTAAACCAGTATCCAAAGACTGTTTATAATATGGCATAGAATGCTTACTCGTCCCAAAGCAGTTTATACGTTGTCATCTCCTCATCATAAACCAGAGCTGTCCCCAAAGCCATTTCTAAAAAAAAAAAAAAAAGATATATAATAATTTAATATTAAAGTAATTTACTGTGAGTTTACAAGGTGCTCATTTTCTTGTACTTGTGGAACTTTCTATAAACGCACTGCATTTTATATGAGGAAAAAAGTGACAACATTTTGTAGAAGCCATTGCACAAGTAATGCATGTGATTTATCAAGTAATTGAGGTATAATTATGTGAAAATGAAGTGTTTCTAAATCAGTTATTTTGGTCTAAATTCTGCAATTCAGTTTCCAGGACACTACGATTTGGTGTTCACTGAATATGCCCCCTCTGTTTTACAGTCACCACAATTAAACCTTTTGATTTTTTTTTTCTTCTTATGAAGAGGTCATGTGTATTTTAGAGAATGGGGGGCACAGCGGGCAGGGCACTAGTGGTTACGGTACTTTGAATATTCCCTAAAGCGCAACTGTCACTCGTCTAATAGTGACAATTATTTTTGTTTCCTTACACCATGAGCTGAAGCATGATAGGACTTTATAGTGCTGCACACATGGTCATTCATTCACTAGTTCTGTGTCCACATGTATGGCACTGTGGGGGTTAATAACATATTCATCTTGTCTTTAAATTAAAACTATAGCTAAACTGTTTGCTGAAATCTCTGTGGGGACTCTTCCTCTTTAACGATACCAAACATTCATTGCTACATTTTGTAAAGCAGGCTCTACATAGTTAAAGGATCACTATAGTGTCAGGAAAGCAAACTAGTTTTCCTAACACTATGTACTCCTCAGGGTCCCCCTCCTGCTGGGCTGAAGGGGTTAAAACACCTTCAGCCACTAACCTTTATCCAGCGCCAGGCTCCCCCGCCGATGTCAGCTCCTGAGTGGAGCGGAATGCGCATGCGCGGCAAGACCCGCGTGCGCTTTCAAACAGTCCATGGACGTTCTGCGTGCTCAATGCGATTTTCGCATTCCAGCATCGCAGAAGCGCCTCTAGCAGCTGTCAGGAAGACAGCCACTAGAACAGGCTTCCCCAAACTGTTGCTGAACTACAACTCCCATGATTCTCAGCCTATTTCATTCATAGAATCATGTTGTAGTTCAGCAACATCTGGCGGGCTGGAGTTTGGGGAAGCCTGCACTAGAGGCAATATTAACCCTGCAATGTATGTTTCAGCTGCAGGGTTAAAACCTGGGGGGACTTTGCACCCAGACCGCTTCATTGAGCTGAAATGGTCTGGGTGACTATAGTGTCCCTTTAAATATTATCTATCTTTCTTGATGCCATTGTACTACAACTCCCATCATGCTCTCCCAGTCTGCAGCCTGGCAAAGTATAGGGAAGTGTAGTTTAACTGCAGCTAAGAGCTACAAGTTGGGCACTATAGGGTAATAATAATAATAAATAACAATTAGGGTGCACATACTTGGGAGTCTTGCTTGTCTACTCACTGCTGCCTGTCCCTGGGCAATGCTGGGAGAAGAGGGTGCAGGTATTAAAACTTCCCCAAAGTAATGACTCCTGTACTCTAAAGGCTGCAGCACGAGAGAGCTCAAAGTACTAGAGACATGTCTGGCACCTGGCCACAGAGAGAGCCTCTCCGCTGCTGCTGATCATTGAGTGCAATAGGGCGACCATTTGCATGGAGACCAAGCTCTATACTAGCGCTACTCACAGTATGGCTCAGCATATTACACAGCTTTGGTGTGTTTAGAACTCGCTTTCTGAGGGTGGGGGAATCTACTTCCTGTGCCGCCATCTTTAATAAGGGCACCTAAAAATATTTTACCCATTCAGTCAGGCATTCTGAATGTAGAAAGGATTTTAATAATATAATTAAAATGTAGGGTTGCAGAATTGATGGTGTGGTAGGAGGCTATATTAGGGGTTTTCACTAAAAAGATAGCTCCCATGATATGAAATGTAATTTTAATATATTAGGGTAAAATAGAAATGCTAGTGGGGTGGAGGATATGGTCACTTCAGCAGTACCCTGTTTCTCCGAAAATAAACCCTACCCCGAAAATAAGCCCTATTCGGATTTTCGGGGTGGGCTGCAATATAAGCCCTACCCCGAAAATAAGACCTAGGCATTGCACCTTTGCGGCGAGACTTCCTTCTTCTACTGTAGGAGGAGCGTTGCGGGCCGTGGCATTGCGCAACGTGATGACGACATTTCGCAGTGCCGTCAGTCTGCCTTCACGGATCTTCAGCGGAAGGATCCATTTCCGGGTGATGAGGCACCCAGTGGTCGGACTCGGCAAGGAATCTTTGAAATGTGAGTACCGGTAGATATTTTATGTCTGGGACTGAATTAATTAAAGGGGGCGGGGGGTGAATTAATTAAAGGGGTGGTGAATTAATTAAAGGGTGGGCTGGATTAATTAGAGGGGGGTGAATTAATTAAAGGGTGGGCTGGATTAATTAGAGGGGGTGAATTAATTAAAGGGGTGGTGAATTAATTAAAGGG